ATTCTACTGTATATGTCATGCTTTGCCATAACTGTTCCTGCATACTGCTGTGTAAACTCACCTTGGTCTCCAGAGCAAATAAACTTTGTCTTGAATACAAGCAAGCCATGTCTATTTATTTGCTACATTGGTAGACTAATATACTGTTATATTGAAGCATGTTTACTTGCCAACAAATTAAAGTTGAAATGAAACACCAACTCCCTGCATGATCTGTTTTAGCAGTAAGATTGTAGCTAGTTACTTCCAAATACATTTAATGAATATCACAATGAATTGACCCAGAAGTTTAAGTCAACACTTTATTGGTTCCTGATGCAGCTGGAATTATTTAGCCACTTGTAAAAAATATTATATAACACATTTCATATGAAACTCCATTATAAACATATGTACAAGAGCTAGCAATATCTATGCCACAATGCAGTTGTGTGCATACTAGGCATCCTATATTATACTACAACATCAGTCTAACTGAATATGGATGTTGTGTTGGCTGAATGTTCCAGGCAGGGTCGTGAATGTTCTTCAGCTGGTGAACCTTGTCTTGTGTTGGGCAATGGCAGCTGGTCTGGCAGAACTTCATGAGCTCCATGGCCTTGGACTCAGACTAGACGCTTTGGCTCTTGCCAGAGCCGTGCAGTCTTTTCCTCTTCCTAGTCAGATGATGTTGAGCTTGTTCCGGGCTGAAAGCTTTCATTCACTGGGTCTACAGGATCTGTACTACTAAAGCTGGTGTCAAGGTCATCATCATCAGCAGCAGGATTAGTCTGTAGGACAGACACTAGTCAGTGATTAGCCAACATTTTACTACTTTTCCCCCATCAATACACACTCAAACAAGGTACTATATACACCCATCCCCCTCGTGTCAATAGATCATGCTGACTAACCTTCACACACACACACACACACACACACACACACACACACACACACACACACACACACACACACACACACACACACACACACACACACACACACACACACAATACCCACCCCCAACAGACACCAGTCAGTTACCCACGCCATCCCCTCCTTACTTATAACTCAGCTATAATGATATATCAAAAACAAAAGCAGTGGATTTTTGTCCATCCTCCCGTGATTCACAATATAGCATTTTCATAGTCATGGCATACTTTGTGTAATAGCTATTGAAGATTGAAATCCCCCCCAAAAAAGAAAACCAAAATTGGTTTTAGAAAATGTGTAGATTTTTGTCCATCCTCCCCCGATTCAGAATATATCATTTTCATAGTCGTAGCACGCTTTGTGTAGGAGCTATTGAAGATTGAAAGGTATTAAACATTTTTAGAAACCACATTTCAAACAACAACAAAAAGCTGTGGATTTTTGTCAATCCTCCCCAGATTCAGAATATATAATTTTCATAGTCATGGCACGCTTTGTGTAAGAGCTATTGAATACATTTTTTCCTCTTCAATCTACACACAATACTCCATAATGATAAAACAAAAACAGGTTTTTAGAAATTTTAGCAAAGTTATTAACAAAAAACTGAAATATTACATTTACGTAAGTATTCAGACCCTTTACTCAGTACTTTGTTTGAAGCACCTTTGGAAGCGATTACAGCCTCGAGTCTTCTTGGGGATGACGCTACATGCTTGGCACACCTGTATTTGGGGAGTTTCTCCCATTCTTCTCTGCAGATCCTCTCAAGCTCTGTTAGGTTGGATCGGGAGCGTTGCTGCACAGCTATTTTCAGGTCTCTCCAGAGATGTTAGATTTGTTTTAAGTCCGGGCTCTGGCTGGGCCACTCAAGGACATTCAGAGACTTGTCCCGAAGCCACTCCTCCGTTGTCTTGACTGTGTGCTTAGGGTCGTTGTCCTGTTGGAAGGTGAACCTTCGAGGTCCTAAGCGCTCTGGAGCAGGTTTTCATCAAAGATCTCTCTGTACTTTGCTCTGTTCATCTTTCCCTCGATCCTGACTAGTCTCCCAGTCCTTGCCGCTGAAAAACATCCCCACAGCATGATGCTGCCACCACCATGCTTCACCGTAGGGATGGTGCCAGGTTTCCTCCAGACGTGATGCTTGGCATTCAGGCCAAAGAGTTCAATCTTGGTTTCATCAGACCAGATAATCTTGTTTCTCATGGTCTGAGCTTGATGATGAGTTGGTTATTTGAATCAGCTGAGTAGTGCTCCAAAACGTGCACCCGGGGGGGGGGGGGGGGGGGGGGGGGGGGGGCAGGACCGAGTTTGGGAAACCCTGGTATAGACAACCTAGATGGGAGACTATTGAGAATGGTAGCAGACTGTATTGCCAGCCCTATTTGCCATGTCTTCAATCAAAGCCCGAAGGAGAGTGTGTGTCCACATGTGTAGAAGGAAGCATAAGTAATCCCATAAAGCACCCTTTGTTGGCTCTAACAGCCACCCAATCAGTTTGCTTCCTGTTCTTAGTAAACTGACAGAGAAAATTGTGTTTGACCAAACACAATGCTATTTTTTAAAGAACAAGTTAACTACTGACTTCCAGCCATAGCCGCAGGAAGTAGGGGTGCTGCAGCACCCCCTGATCAATTGAAAATCACAAATTATATTACTCCTGTGTGAACTAGGCCTTTATTACTCCTCTGTGAGAGGACAAAAAAATACTCCTCAGCACCCCCAACCCAAAACATCTTCCCTCTGCTATGCTTCCACCATGTATATAGGGAAGGGCACTGATGTTGTACTGCACTAACTCAGATGACTAATGATTGGTTAAAAGACATGGATAAGAAGATGATATTTGGAGCTGTATTGTTGGATTTCAGTGCAGCCTTCGATGTTATTGATCATAAATTGTTATTGAAAAAACTCACTTGTTATGGGCTTTACAACACCTGCCATCATATGGTTGGAGAGTTATTTGTCCTATTGAACCCAAAGAGTTTTCTTCAATGGAATCTTCTTTAACAGATATGTACAGTGCAGTGTCCTTCAGGGCAGTTGCCTCGGGCCATTACTCTTCTCTATTTTTACAAATGACTTGCCACTTGTCTTACAAGAAGCTAGAATGATTATGTACGCTGATGATCATTGATTCCACAATCTACATGGCAGCACCCACAGCCAGTGAGCTCATTGAGACTCTTTACAAGGAGTTAATCACCCATGCTGATACTGACTAACAATAAACTGGTCTTAAATACATATAAAACCAAAAGCATTGTATTTTGTTCAAAACATTCTCTAAGACCTAACACTGAACTGTAGTTGAGCATAAAGGGTGAGCCCATTGAGCAAGTTGAGGAAGCTGAACTCGTAGGATCAACATTGGATGGTCAGTTATTATGGTGAAGTTGTTGTGAAGATGGGGAGTGGTATGTTTGTCTGTTATATTATGCAATGCTCGACAGTAGTTGTTCAGGCTCTGGTCTGATCCCATGGTGACTACTGTCCGTTAATATGGTCAGGTGTAGCAAAGAAAGACTTAGCAAAGCTGCAGCTATCTCAAAACAGAACAGCACGCCCTGCACTTCACTGCACACGCGGACCTAACATCAACAACATGCATGATAGCCTTTCCTGGTTGAGGAGAGATTGACTACTTCTCTTCTAGTCCATTCAGTGTGTGTGTCCTCCACCTGTCACTTACCCACACACGCCATGCGGGACATGTCCAGGGTGTATCCGTCGAAGCAGTCGCAGGTGTAGCCCTCCTGTACCCGCACACAGCGCCCGTTCTCACAGCCGTTCAGAATGCCACACTCTTCCGCTCTCAGGCCCTCAAACGCAGCGGAAGGGTCTGCAGCATGGAGGAAGGGGGACAGGGGTTAAGAAAGAGGTGTTTTATTCACCCAAGTCAGATGAGGATATAATTAAGCAATAAGGCCCGAGGGGGTGTGGTATATGGCCAATATACCACGGCTAAGGGCAGCTCTTAGGCCATATACCACAAACCCCTGAGGTGCCTTATTGCTATTATAAACAGGTTACCAACGTAAATAGAACAGCAAATAAGTAGTTTTGCATCATAACCGTGGTGTATTATATACCACAGCTTTCAGGGAATCAGCATCCAGGAGCCAAACTACCTGGTTTATAATGAATGAATTTCAGGGTTGGCTGGCCTTCTCTAGTCACTCGTAGGCTCAGTCACTGGTATACTTTTATTTACAAAGCCATTTTGGGTTTTCTACCTTTTTATTTGGGCATTTTTATTGTTCAGAAATGTGGTGGGTACTCTCTTCGTTCACTGGACTTTATCCTGCTAACTGTTCCAAATGTCCGAACTGAATTTGGTAAAAGGTCTTTTATGTACTCTGCGCCATCGTCTTGGAACACCTTACAAAATAATTTTAAACTGGAAGAACTTGTCCCGATTGGTGTTTTTAAATCTCTGATGAAGGATTTTGAGGCTGATTCCCTGACCTGTCAATGTTTTTAATTTGCTGTTTTTGATATTGTTATACTCTTGTGAATTCATGAATGGTTTTTACTAGATTACTTGTAGTTTTTCATGTTGTCTGTCTGTAATTTTTTGTAATGACTTGGTGCTGCCTATCTTGGCCAGGACGCTCTTGAAAAAGAGATTTTAAATCTCAATGAGCCCTTCCTGGTTAAATAAAGGTTAAATAAAAAAAATAAAAAAAATGACTTACGTAATATGTGAATGCAGTGAAATTATGACTTAAAAATGTATCCTCACTAAATGATGACTTAAAAATGTATGATGACTCAAGTCTTAATTGTTATAATTTTAAATAAAATATTGACATTTAACTAGCATGATTAGATACATTAATTGATCATTACGAACAATGTCTTTATGATCTTGGAAGACCTTGGTTACACTGAAAATGACTACTATTTGTGCCTACCTACAGAAAAATGATTGTGGTCATGGCATATAGTAATTAATATGGACCCAAGGTGGCAGCAGCGAGCTATCATTGAGAGAATAGGCAGCTTGTCCCAACCTCCCCATTCTCTCTGCCTGTTTGAGCTTCATCAGTGTGTTTTACAGTGTGGTGGGGACTGGTTCACTTACTCTCCTTGTCCTCGTACAGGGCACCAGGATGGTCAGGGTGAGGCTCGTAGTCCTGGACAGGGCGGGGCACGAGGGCATCGCCACCATACGGACGCCCCTGTCCTCCACTCATTGCCACGTTACACATGGAGGCATAGTCCTCTGTGAGATAATGGAGAGAGAGACTGAGACATGACCTTCTGACAGAAACGAGAGAGACATACATTTCCTCTAAGAGAGAGAAAGAAAATGAGAAACAGAGATTGAAAGAGATTTAGACATAGCTACAGTTGAAGTCGGAAGTTTACATACACTTAGGTTGGAGTCAATAAAAATCGTTTTTCAACCACTCCACAAATTTCTTGTTAACAAACTATAGTTTTGGCAAGTCGGTTAGGACATCTACTTTGTAAATGACACAAGTAATTTTCCAACAATTCTTTACAGACAGATTATTTAACTTAAAATTCACTGTATCACAATTCCAGTGGGTCAGAAGTTTACATACACTAAGTTGACTGTGCCTTTAAACAGTTTGGAAAATTCCAGAAAATGATGTCATTGCTTTAGAAGCTTCTGATGGGCTAATTGACATAATTTGAGTCAATTGGAGGTGTACCTGTGGATGTATTTCAAGGCCTACCTTCAAACTCAGTGCCTCTTTGCTTGACATCATGGGAAAATCTAAAGAAATCAGCCAAGACCTCAGAAAAAAAATTGTAGACCTCCACAAGTCTGGTTCATCCTTGGGAGAAATTTCCAAACGCCTGAAGGTACCACGTTCATCTGTACAAACAATAGTATGCAACTATAAACACCATGGGATCACGCAGCCGTCATACCGCTCAGGAAGGAGACGCGTTCTGTCTCCTAGAGATGAACGTACTTTGGTGCGAAAAGTGCAAATCAATCCCAGAACAACAGCAAAGGACCTTGTGAAGATGCTGGAGGAAACAGGTACAAAAGTATCTATATCCACAGTAAAACGAGTCCTGTATTGACATAACCTGAAAGGCCGCTCAGCAAGGAAGAAGCCACTGCTCCAAAACCGCCATAAAAAAGCCAGACTACTACGGTTTGCAACTGCACATGGGGACAAAGATCTTACTTTTTTGAGAAATGTCCTCTGGTCTGATGAAACAAAAATAGAACTGTTTGGCCATAATGACCATCGTTATGTTTGGAGGAAAAAGGGGGTTGCTTGCAAGCCGAAGAACACCATCCCAACCGTGAAGCACGGGGGTGGCATCATCATGCTGTGGGGGTGCTTTGCTGCAGGAGGGACTGGTGCACTTCACAAAGTAGATGGCATCATGAGGAAGGGAAATTATGTGGATATATTGAAGCAACATCTCAAGACATCAGTCAGGAAGTTAAAGCTTGGTCGCAAATGGGTCTTCCAAATGGACAATGACCCCAAGCATACTTCCAAAGTTGTGTCAAAATGGCTTAAGGACAACAAAGTCAAGGTATTGGAGTGGCCATCACAAAGCCCTGACCTCAATCCTATAGAAAATGTGTGGGCAGAACTGAAAAAGTGTGTGCGAGCAAGGAGGCCTACAAACCTGACTCAGTTACACAAGCTCTGTTAGGAGGAATGGGCCAAAATTCACCCAACTTATTGTGGGAAGCTTGTGGAAGGCTACCCAAAACGTTTGACCCAAGTTAAACAATTTAAAGGCAATGCTACCAAATACTAATTGAGTGTATGTAAACTTCTGACCCACTGGGAATGTGATGGAAGATATAAAAGCTGAAATAAATCATTCTCTCTACTATTATTCTGACATTTCACATTCTTAAAATAAAGTGGTGATCCTAACTGACCTAAAACAGGGAATTTTTACTAGGATTAAATGTCAGGAATTGTGAAAAACTGAGTTTAAATGTATTTGGCTAAGGTGTATGTAAACTTCCGACTTCAACTGTATCTGAAACAAAGAGCGATAGGAGAAGAGAGAGACTGAGTTGCCTTCTGACCACAGTAGATATCAGGAGCCAGTGAATTACATCTGCTGCTGGCATTTCTATTTAAACGCAAAGAGAGAATACATGACAAATAGCTAATACGTTTGATAAATACAACACATTTCTGTCATTCTAAGAACTGCAGCATATCCAAATGTCAACATTTCCATGGTTCTTCAAAGTAATTACATTGCCATCATCACTTGGCTTAGAAGACAGAGGATATTTGACTAAACTGAATACTCTGGTTGTGACTAGCGGCCCACTTCCCTCCTGAATGTGTCTTTCAACACACAGCACAGCACAGCACAGCACCCGCTCTGAGCTCCCTCCTCATTGGTTACTGTACTGTGGGAACCTAACCCAGAGTCTTTCATCTGCACGCCATGACCAGCCATCCCCTACAGTCCCCTGCTAATCCCACGCACCTGCCTGCCTCCGCTCATTCCCACAAGAACGTCTACACAGGAAACACATCAGAGAGGGACCGCAGAGAGATCTGGATGGGCCTGATGAGAACAAACAAGTGTGTGTTCTGTTCTGGTCTCTCTATGGAGAGCAGCGGTGAGCTCACACACCTGCATCTGAGTTATTCAGTAAAGATCCGAGTGGGATTGGATCTTGGACAATAATTCTTACATACCAAAGGGTGTTTCGCAAATCTTTGAAAACCTAAAAGTGACCCGGACTTCGAAATGGCTAATTCTGGTTTCTGTCAATGTTTCTGAATGAGATAAAAATGACATGACCAAAATAGCTTTTGTAAAGCAACCGGCAGAAAGAGAAGCTGTAGACCTATGTCGCACAGCTACAATGTTCCTGCAGAGTTCAAACCTAGCTTTCGTGACTTATCAACTGCACTTACTAAACTGTTGGTTCAACACTATTCTCACATGAAGCTACGAATTCAAACTGCTAGGAAATCACTCAAAAATCACATTTAAAAATCCCCAACTCTACCAGTTCCATCTTCCAGTGGGCTGGAATAGCAGTCTTATTTTATCGGAGGGAGGAAAAATATCCAGTGCAGAGCCCTGAGGATGGTCCTCACATGTTCCAGTCAACAAGTCCCCATAATGCACATAACAGCCCTCCACCCTGGCAGCGTAGTGGGGACATGCATTAGCAACCAGACCTCCCTGCCTAGACACACTCCAGGTATTGGATAAGGGAAGTGGGTTAAACAGGAAAGGGGGAGTGGTAGAGGATAGAAGATCGGCACCAGGGCAGGCTAGATCTCAGAGGCTCCAGGGGACAGGAGCATTAGCAGGCAGCTGGCAGAGGCCAAACCTAATGAGGTATCACTAGTCATGGGTCTGAGGTCTGAAAGGTCCTGGTCCGCCACAGGAAGGACCACCGTCTGGTTCAAGCACTGACCAACATTATCACTCTGAAACCAGCTGTATGGGGTTCTATAATATACCTCACATGAGACTGGAAGTATTTACCTAGTTAGCTCTATTCACAATGGATAATAGGTCATGGATAAAGTCATTCTAACAGAAGCGTTGATAGATGGACATGTATGCTGGTGTGGAAGGTTTGTAGTACCTGTGTTCTTGAGGGGGCAGAGGGTACAGTCCATGCCCCAGGCCTCTCCAAACAGACAGCAGCACTCTGTGTACGTGGTCTTTCTGTTGGCCAGGGGCTTGGTGCAGGTCAGAATGTCTGTCAGATTATCTGTTACCGTCTGCCAGCAAATACCCTGGTAGACAGTCTGCTCACCATGTTGCTCTGCAACAGACACAGTACATCTCAATCACAATCACTATGAAACACACAATATGATGTGACAAGTTATACAATCTCCATGAGAAAGACATTGAAAAAAACAGAGACAACATAAGAGCATGCTTAGGGTTTGGGTTAACCCTTGCTTATTTTTGCATCCAGTCTCCATGAGGTTTCTTACCTGCCACTTCAGGGGCAATCACACAGCTCTTGTTGTCAGAGTCCATCACCATGGGGTGTGTACAGAAACACATGTAGGAGCCATGTGTGTTCAAACACTCTCCCGCAACACAGCTAGACTCATCCTGACACTCATCAATATCTGCAGGGGGAGGAAAGAGAAAGAGAGAGAGGGGGGAGAGAGGGAGCAAGTTAGAGAGCGAGAGAGACGGAGACAAATATTTTAAAAGGTCCTGTTGGAGTTCTGTTGTCTCAGCCCGATTCTCTTAATGAAACGCAGTCCGCACGCTGCACACACACACACACAGTCATTTACACTCATTAACCTATCCAATTAAGCATCCACTCATATAGAACGGGGACAAAAATGCTTGCTCACACAAAAACACTCAGGTAAGGCTGACTTCAATTGAGGAATCAGGCTAATAAACTGCATTTTCTATTTTCCATTGATGAGAGGGCAAATCTGTTTTCCCTGTGTCAGTAAAAAAGTATGTTGCAGAGACATATAGTATGCTAGACAGTAAACATGTTTTTGTGGATGATAGCTCAACTAATACAGCTTCAAGGGGATTATTTGCAGGTGTTTTGAAAAATAAACCTAGTATTTGGATTGTAACTCAGCCCCAAAAGGAAAGACATGTATTTCTGAAATATGCAGCCACAGCAAACACATTAGATACACATCAGGCCTGTGGTTTCATAATTGCTGAGGAAATTAATGGAGAAAAAAAACGCCCAACGGTTTCATCCATCCAGACATATAACTGAAATACACATCTACTCGATATTCTACACTTTCAAAAATACCCCTCCATCCCTTTAAAAAAAAAAAAAAAACATATCCCAAATAGAACACCGCCATAGGACTGGCAGTGGTGGTGGTTGGTTTCTAAATTGTATTATGACTCTCTAGTCCACGCGTAACGGGGTAAAACCAGGACCGTCTGGGGTAAAGGCCAAACCTCTGCTGGACCCTCCGCCCAGTCCCAGCCTGTCCAAATAATCCAACACAAATGTGGCGGAACACCGCAGGCGGACCACAGGCATCTTGCGCTTGCGTCCCGGGGATAGGGGTGCAGTGTGGGGCCGGCAGAGGGCCAAGGTCCCTCCAGTGTGGGCCGGTTGGTAGTTTGGGACGTGCTGCCTGGGCCTGCTGGGTTTGGCCCATAGGTCACCGCAGTCTAGCCCTGTGTCACCCCCAGAGTGTCCCGTGTCCCCGCCCTGCCGCTCAGCCGGCCCTGACCCCACCTAACCCAGGGAGGGGCCCCAACCTACACACCCCGGCCCAGCCAGCCAACACACACAGGCTGTGGTACAGTAGGACTAACTACTTTTAATGTGTGTGGACAGTTTAATGACACAGGGCTGTGGAAATGTTATATTAGTAGACTGAGGGCTATTGATTCCAATCTTTTGATTGTCGCAAAAAATGGCTTTATGTTGTGAGTAAATCAAGTATGTTTGGGCTGAATTAACACTAACTAATGTGAATGACCTTCCCACTTACCTCTGCACTGCAAATTGACCTCGTCGTAGTGCAGGCCATTCTTACAGTAACACTCGTAGCTTCCTGGGCTGTTGAAGCAGAAGCCATCCTTACAGATCTCCTGGCCAAATAACGCACACTCATCTGCATCTGGGAGGGAGAGGACAAAAGGGTCTTAATAACAGCCTACACAGACACAGACACAGACACAGACACAGACACAGATACAGACACAGACACAGTCACAGTCACAGTCACATCCACAGACACAGCCACAGCCACAGACACAGACACAGACAACCAAGACACAGCCACAGACACAGACACAGACACAGACACAGACACAGACACAGACACAGCCACAGACATGCAGACATTTTCAGTTCATCTCTTGCTATTGAGATAACCATGTATAAATGCAGTTACTTCCCCACTAAAGCTGAAGGAACACCAATACTACTCAATTTCCAGTATTAAAACAGTCTCTACTCTTCATGTTTATAGAAAGGTGAGACCAACTCAACGCTTTAATGAGGTGAAACCCTGGAGAGGCTTAGAGAAAACCTCCATCAACAAACAGTTCTGTGTTACAGTACTCTACTCTTCCTTGTGTGTGCCGTTGGTTGGGCGTTGGTGTTTGCAACTGAGACCACAATCAGCTGTGCTAACAGATCCACTAATTGAAGACATATCCACACTGGTGCTCAGGAAGTGTACCTGGCAACTTGCCTTCCCAGCCCCCCTCCCCCACCCCCCCACCCCCCCACCCCCAACCCCCAACCCCCAACCCCCCACTCTCTCTCTCAGAATATACCACATGCACTTGCTGCCAGCCCCTTTCTACCAGACTGCCTTTGCTGTAATAAATTATACAATTGAATTAAGGCCGTTGGTTCGATGAATTAGCTTTCGTGCGAGGGGAACAAGCTAGGCTTGTGGCTTGTGGGGCTGGAAAAGGAGAGGGAGAGAAGAGGAGAGAGGAAGAGAAGAGGAGAGGAGAACAGGAGAGCAAGAGGAGAGGAGAAGATATGTAAGTCATAGGTCTCCAGACATCTGAGGCTGGCATTTCTGCTCTGTGACTCCAAGGCTGAGAGAGAGAGGCAAACCACAGCGAGAGACACACATGCATGCACACAACAAGAGCACAGACAGAGGCCTGCCTGGGTGAGAGCCAGCTGCGATGAAATTAATAGCAGCATCTCAACAGCAGAAAACAGAGTTCAGTAAGGCCATTCAAATCATGGGTTTGTTGTTACCTCGTTGTCTGATGTATAATGTTCTCACTGTATTCTCTGAACACTGCTGTTGTGAGCTAAGGCTCTGTTTAGCCTATACTGGGTCTCTGAGTTCACATACCTTTATAACTCTCGGCTGCAGTCACTCCAAACACAGGGTCACCAGTGGGGACACTGCCTCTCCCAGCTGGACACATCTGGGAAAACTGATCTGTTGAAGAGGTAGACAAGAAAATGTGTAATATGTAATGTGTGTGTGTGTGTGTGTGTGTGTGTGTGTGTGTTGTGTGTGTGTGTTTGTTTATGTGTGTGCTTCCTCACCAGTGCCCTGGATGGGGCAGGGGTGCACCTCACAGTTGTCCCCCCAGCCTGCCCCCAGCGTACAGCAGCACTCCTCTATGGTGACACTGCTGGTCAGCACGTTCTCACACAGGTTCTCATCATTGAGGTTGTAGTAGCACTCCTTCCTCTCCACTGACGAGGCTGTATGGGGAACAACACTTTACTACACAGAAATAGATCAAGGATAGTGTTCAGGAATATCGACCTGTCGTGCGAGTGAACGAGTAACGTTTTAGTGACAACAATGGGTTAACCCAGGACGGATGAGTCTCTCTCTCTCTGTGACATTTCCCACGCAGGAGTGTAAACTGAGACTTTTAGAGCCTGCTGGAGAGATAAGGCACATGATGAATGTGATCAGCCTGGTTTCCCCTAAACCCTCCACACGCACGCAAACACACACACTGTGGTTTCTGTCTCATTGTTTTGTGCTCTGTGAATGTGTGACACTCTGGCTCCATGGACTTTATTATTGAGCCAGGGTTGTTCATTTTCATTGTTTGGGTGTATTTCTATGTTGGGGATTTCTGGTTGTGCATTTCTATGTTTGGGTTAATTGTTCTTTATTAGTCATATGACTCCCAATCGGAGGTAACGAGTGTCAGCTGTCGGCTCGTTATCTCTGATTGGGAGCCATATTTATACTGTGTGGTTTCACCTGGGTTTTGTGGGTTTTTGTTTCCTTGATCCTGTTTAGTCAGTGTCAGATTTGGACTTCACTTTCGTCATTTTGGTTTGTTGTTTTTATCGTGGTTTCTTTAATTAAATAAAGTCTACGATGTTCGCTCAACACGCTGCGCTTTGGTCTCCTCCTTTCGACGATCGTGACAGAAAAACCCACCATAAAAGGACCAAGCAGCGCGTCCAGGAGCAAAGGGTCTGGACATGGAAGGAACTGTTGGACGGTAAAGGGTCCTGGACTTGGGAGGAGATCCTGGAGGGTATGGATCGCCGTCCATGGAGCGAGACGGTGGAGAGGCGATGGCGAGAGGAGCAACGGCGTCGGCAGAGCCAACGTCGGAAGGACGAGAGGCAACCCCAAGACATTTTTTTGGGGGGGCACATGGCTTGGGCGACTGAGCAGCAGGAGGCTGCCACAAGGCAGATGCAGAAGGCTACCAGGTTAAGGGGGCTGACGGAGGCAGAGAAGGGACGGATTCAGGAGGCTACCAGGTTAAGGGGGCTACTGGGTAAAGCAGGGAAGGAAGGTGTAGAGGCTCGGCGAGAGGTACTGGGGTGTGTAACCAGTCCGGTCCGGCCCGTTCCTAATCCCGAGGTACAGCCAGTAGTGTGTGTTCCCCGTACGGTACGGCCTGTTCCGGCCCCTCGCACTAAGTGTACGGTGCGCGTCGCCAGCCCGGTTCGGCCTGTTCCTGCCACCCGCACCAAGTGTACGGTGCGCGTCGCCAGCCCAGCCCGGCCTGTTCCTACTCCCCGCACCAGGGATACGGTGCGCTTCGTCAGCCCAGCCCGGCCTGTTCCGGCCACTCGCACCAGGGATACGGTGCGCGTCGCCAGCCCAGCCCGGCCTGTTCCTACTCCACGCACCAGGGATACGGTGCGCTTCGTCAGCCCAGCCCGGCCTGTTCCGGCCACTCGCACCAGGGATACGGTGCGCGTCGCCAGCCCAGCCCGGCCTGTTCCTACTCCACGCACCAGGGATACGGTGCGCTTCGCCAGCCCGGCCCGGCCTGTTCCGGCCTCTCGCACCAGAGATACGGTGCGCGTCGCCAGCCCAGCCCGGCCTGTTCCTGCTCTCCGCACTAGGCCTCATGTGCGTCCCCAGGGTCCAGCATGCCCTGTTGCTGCTCTCCGCACTAGGCCTTATGTGCGTCCCCAGGGCCAAGCAGGCCCTGTTGCTGCTTCCCGCACTAGCCCTGAGATGCGTGTCCTCAGCCCGGTACCTCCAGTTCCGGCACCACGCATCAGGCCTACGGTGCGTCCCCAGGGCCAAGCATGCCCTGTTGCTTCTCCCCGCACTAGCCCTGAGATGCGTGTCCTCAGCCCGGTACCTCCTGTTCCGGCACCACGCACCAGGCCTACGATGCGCCTCAGACGGCCAGAGTCTGCCGTCTGCCCAACGGGGCCTGAACTGTCCGTCTGCCCAACGCCGTCTGAACTGCCCGTCTGCCCAACGGCGCCTGAACTGCCCGTCTGCCCAACGCCGTCTGAACTGTCCGTCTGCCAAGCGCCGCAGGAGCTGCCCGTCGGTACTGAGCCTGCAAAGCCGCCCGTCTGCCATGAGCCTTCAGAGCCGTCCGCCAGACCGGAGCCGCTAGAGCTCTCCGCCAGACAGGAGCAGCCAGAGCCTTCCGCCAGACAGGATCAGCCAGAGCCTTCCGCCAGACAGGATCAGCCAGATCCTTCTGCCAGACAGGATCAGCCAGAGCCTTCTGCCAGCCAGGATCAGCCAGAGCCTTCTGCCAGCCAGGATCCGCCAGAGCCGTCCAGCCAGGATCCGCCAGAGCCGTCCAGCCAGGATCCGCCAGAGCCAGCCAGCCAGGATCCGCCATTCAGTCAGGTACTGTCCCTTAGCCCGGTGCTGCTCCTTAGTCCGGTGCTGCCCCTTAGTCCGGTGCTGCCCCTTAGTCCGGTGCTGCCCCTTAGTCCGGTGCTGCCCCTTAGTCCGGTGCTGCCCCTTAGTCCTGTGCCGCCCCTTAATCCAGTGGGGTTTAGTGGGGGGGTGGTCATGTGGAAGGGGCTACGGAAGCGGAAAGTGACTAAGGTGGGGTGGGGACCACGACCTGGACCAGAACCGCCACCATGGACAGACGCCCACCCAGACCCTCCCCTAGGCTGTATGCTGGTGCGCCCGGAGTTCGCACCTTTAGGGGGGGGTACTGTGACACTCTGGCTCCATGGACTTTATTATTGAGCCAGGGTTGTTCATTTTCATTGTTTGGGTGTATTTCTATGTTGGGGATTTCTGGTTGTGCATTTCTATGTTTGGGTTAATTGTTCTTTATTAGTCATATGACTCCCAATCGGAGGTAACGAGTGTCAGCTGTCGGCTCGTTATCTCTGATTGGGAGCCATATTTATACTGTGTGGTTTCACCTGGGTTTTGTGGGTTTTTGTTTCCTTGATCCTGTTTAGTCAGTGTCAGATTTGGACTTCACTTTCGTCATTTTGGTTTGTTGTTTTTATCGTGGTTTCTTTAATTAAATAAAGTCTACGATGTTCGCTCAACACGCTGCGCTTTGGTCTCCTCCTTTCGACGATCGTGACAGAATGCCTCCGATAATTACAGATCACCAGAGATTCATATCCAATTGCCCTCTCAGAAAACCCCAGCTTTTATTGCTACAACATGGAAATGGCCTTTTACATTCTTCTAAAGCAATCATACTATTACGTAACGTCTGCTGTTGTGAGCACAGAGCATGCTCTAATTCCTAACATTACGCAATTATAAACTATCCTCCTTAAATATTTGGGACTGTTTTCAGATGTAACAGAGAACATACTCTACTTGAGGTGATTTGGTTAAGTCTGACAAGAAGCCTAGGTTCATGTAGAGCTTTGGGACCCTACCTAAAGCCCTGTCCTACAGTATACATCCACCAGACAGACACACAGACAGAGTTTTACACTCAAGCAGAGATAAGGGAGTCCCCGAACGTGGGTCCTCCAGGCATGCAGAGGAAGCCCTAACCCGGGGCCCCGGTGTTAACCACAGAACTAGGCCCCCTCATTCATCAGAACACCACTCCACTCAAATTGAACAACACGGTGTTAAAGGTTAATATGGTCCTCTGAGACAATGCACTCAACATTCACTATACAGTCTTATTAATTTAGGGGGATTGACACACTGGAATTTCACGATCACCACTAATGTGTGGATTTGAATGAACCATGTAACTTGGGAGACTTCTAAACCCTCCATCACCCCCTTTATCTGAGGTCAACTTTATTCAATTCTAAATTTAAACTATTTTTAAAATGTAAAAGCTTTCTATCAACTAGAGGGTCTTCATTTATGTTCAGGCAATGTGTGGGTCACCTGTGGGAGCGGGACTGCACTTGGCGGTCATCTGGTTGTACTCCTGGTCCTCGTCGGGGCACATACACAGGAAGGAGCCCTCCACGTTCTCACACAGGGCCTCGCCACACACACCGCTCAGCAGATCACACTCATTCACATCTGCAGGGAGAACACAACACCTTGGTTAGCACTAATGAGCATGGTTAGCAACCTTCCATCTCATTCAGGTAATGCCTCAGATATGTGGCTTGTGTAGCCTCATTCACTGGGACAAGTAGCTGATAAAGACAAATGAAGATACTAAGTGACGTACTGTATGGGGAGTGCAGTGAAAAACCTTTGGAAATTGATTTATCTTAAGCAAAACACTCAAATATCTATTTCACACTCTAATAACATGTCTGTTTTCCTTTGACCTGGCTGTGGTTATACATGTGCATCCATCCATGTAAGTCTCCCAGTTATGAACGAACGTGCAGAGAAAACATCAACAGTTATGAACGAACGTGCAGAGAAAACATCAACCCGGAAGTGGAGCTTAATGTAAAAAGACAACAAAGCCGTCTGGTTCCTACATGCTCTGATCTGCTCCGTATCCCCAACACCCTGTCCAATACTTCACACCGGGGTGTGGGCCAGTTTGTCAATGAGCTAGAAAGTGTTAAGGAGAGAGCAGGGAGGAAGAGAGTGGGTGCGTCGCAATAGGGGAGTACTAAAAGGGGGTGGGCCAGTCCAGAATTACAATGGAAAAGGCAGATTTTGCCTCATAAGAGATTACATTTAAACATATTTCACGGCCTTTCCTGCTCAGCAGAATGGGACGACCGCAAAGTACATTTGGAGGATAATTTTTTCTCCATTTCAGTGGATTCTGTCCCATTAAATATTTTATATACCAGCTTATATACCACAATTTGGCTATACATTACAACTCCACTGCCCAGCCAATGGAAATGATTTCATATGTAAACAGAGAGAAATGCTGAGCTACAGTATAGTATAGCTAGATAGGTTAGTGGGAAGAAGGATTGGCTACATATAATGAGTGTACAAAACATTATGAACTTTCCATGACACAGACTGACCAGGTGAATCCAGGTGAAAGCTATGATCCCTTATTGATGTCACTTGTTAAATCTAACTTCAATCAGTGTAGATGAAGGGGAGGAGACAGGTAAAAGAATGATTGTTAAGCCTTGAGACAATTGAGACATGGATTGTGTATGTGTGCCATTCAGAGCGTGAATGGGCAAGACAAAATATTTAAGTGCCTTTGAACGGGGTATGGTAGTAGGTGTCAGGCGCACCGGTTTGAGTGTGTCAAGAACTGCAACGATGCTGGGTTTTTCACGCTCAACAGTTTCCCATGTGCATCAAGAATGGTCCACCACCCAAAGGACATCCAGCCAACTTGACTCAACTGTGGGAAGCCTTGGAGTCAACATGGGCCAGCATCTCTGTCGAACGCTTTCGACACCTTGTAGAGTCCATGCCCCAACAAACTGAGGCTGTTCTGAGGGCAAAAGGGGGGGTGCAAGTCAATATTAGGAAGGTGATCTTAATGTTTTGTACATTCAGTGTACAACTTATTTTTATGTACGCAGAGGCAACTTCCCAGCCTCTCTCTCGCTCTCTTTCCTCCTCTCTTCTCCTCCCCCTCCCCCCGTGGTATGTGACTGGGCAGAAATAGCCAGTCACATGAGCCAGAGAGACTATCATTGTGTGATTCAGAGCACAGATGGCTTGGCATATTCGCCCACAATGGCCGCCATCGCATATATCTGCCACCACAGATCGAAAAGCTCATTAACAGCCCAGGTACATAATGCAGGAAGCAGACAAAAATAGTCCCCCCCTCCTCTCCCCCCTCTAGTTATAAGCCTTCCTTGTCGCTCGGCTCAAAGCATCCCGGTACTGAGGAGAATCTATAATTAATTTGTGACATTAAAACCTGCTGCTGCTTTTCTGGTTTCAGCACGCACCACGCTGCCCTCATTAAAACCTGGTCTGTCTGGCTTGACCCTGAAGCACCTTGTTCGCTATGCACAGTCATCGTCTGGGTTCAGCCACAACCTCTACCCCAGCCTCAGTCCAGCAGAATCAGAAAAAGCACAGCTGTTTCCTTTTTGATCTTGTTTAAAGTTGTAGCTAGCTGGACTAGAGGGAGAGAGAGGGAGTACCAACAATGAAACGTGTCACATAAATCACTTGACAAATGAAAGGACACAGACAGATAGGCTACGTTGTTTGATTCCCAGTCTTGAGAATATGTAACAAACAGGTAAATAAACTCCAAAACGGCTTCTTTATCTGGGAAGCAGAAATCAATCTGAGAGGCTCAGTGGTGCGTCTGTCTGGGTGTAACCAGAGATTGGGAGAGGAGAGGAGGAGAGGAGGGGTTGGCGGTTGACCACTTCCGGTAGCATGGTGGGTGGGGGGCAGGGGGCGAGACCATCTGTGCAAGCCACAGCAGAGTGATGGACTGGCAGGAGAACAGAGGTAGCTGGCTGTACAAGGCTGGGGTGGGACCCACCAACACTTGCCAAGGTACAGAGTGTGTATGAGAGAAAGAAAGCAAGAGAGACCGTAAGTTTACGTGACTGTGTGTGTGTGTGTGTGTGTGTGTGCACGTACGTGTGTGTGTGTGTATGTGTGTGTGTTGCAGGGAGTGCATGTGTGTGTAAAAGTGTTTGTGTAGGTGTATGAATGTGTACGTGTGTGCGTGCGTGTGTGTGTATGTGTTGCAGGGAGTGTGTGTGTGTGTATGTTGCAGGGAGTGCATGTGTGTGTAAAAGTGTTTGTGTAAGTGTATGAATGTGTACGTGTGTGCGTGTGTATGTGCGCACAGGTCAGAGAGGTCTGGCTGAAGAAAGTATTTTATCAGCTTCAATATGAGAGTGCCTGCGACCCACTTTCAGGGCCCTGACAGGCCTTTCTGCAGGAGGAAATTGGAATAGATGGGAACTGCATGGGCCCAGTTAAGGAAACCACTAAGACAAACGAGCTCCAATTCTTCAGCTTGTCCAAAAACATGAACTCACTGGTTCTCTATCTGATTATGATCCCCCACTCCCTCAAACCCCCTCAAACTGTGAGAATGAAATTGAGAGTAACAAAACAAATGGCATTCTGAGCTCTTTTGATAGAGTGAGCACTGGTTTTCTGTGGGTCTGTGGAAGAATGCCCTTGATGTCCCCTGGCTTGGCTGAGGAAGACATCAGTCCAAGGCGATGGGGTTGTCTGGGGTTTGATTTGGTATCAGGGATGGATTTTCTGACAGAACACTCTCACCTTTGAATCCACTGCAGCCCGGGGCTGAAATGAAAGCCATGCATCACTGATAGCGAACCACCACAGCCCAGCCCTGACCAGAAAAAGCTATTGACTGAGAAATAACCTGGTCGACCACACATACAGTACACTACATCTATAGTTGTGTAAACTATAGATCCGATTCTGACAACTCCAGTATTGAAACAAGTCAAATCAAAAGGCAAAATATGAAATCAAAATCTCTGTCTTATAGTCAATCTTTCTCTTCAGCGGGGATAAGCAGACAGGAACCAGAGGCCTGGACTCATACTGACAGACAGCAGCCATACAGCTTTACAGCTCTCCATTACTTTCACTGCAACGGTGTGTGTGCCTGTGAGTGTGTGTATGCATGAGACATCAGAGTCTAAGCTCCAGTGCATTTTCCAAACTTAGGGTCTGAGGAGCACTGCAGACACAGTGGGATATATTTAATACATAACAGAGCTACAACTTCAAATTGAATGAAAATAAATGGTCACATCAATCAAATGTCTTGCGACACGTCTGCCATCTTATTTTCATGCAAAGAGGGAAACTACACATTTTTAAACTACAAATTTGAGAGAAGACAGGAGTATTTTAAGTTATATCAACCTGCATCAATATGACCCACACCATATCATCACATGCAAGTCTTTCATGACATATGATTTCATATCTACAATGCTTACACTATCTTTAAGAGAAGCATAAAGCATACATTTCTAGCACTGCCACCGCCAACAAACTTCAGAGGAAAATAGCTGTCAGGAAAATACACTCAATCATACTTCCTATTGCTTTGCATGGACGAATTCATGTTTATACTTGGCTAAAGGCTACAGTAGTTGCCACTGAATGAGAAAATAAATCTCATTTTAAGATTAAAAGGTTACTCTTGGTATTCTAGGTTGACAGATATAGCCATGGCAGACTACCCAGCATATCCATAATAGAAGTGAGCTGTCATTCAGTCGTCATGACAACACTGCTGGAGTTGTCTCAAGAAGGGAGCAGAAGTTTTAGCCATCAACGCTAGCAGTTTGGTTTTAAGAGTGTTCCGATGCTTTCAGCAGGACACTTACACTGAAAATAATGAAGGTTCTTAAATGGTTAGAACTCTTGCCCAATAAAGAACCTTTGAGTTAAGTTGGGGATTCTCAACGTGGCATCTACGGTTCTTCAGAATTCTAAAAGGTTCTTGAAATGTATGGAAGCCCTTTCATAGCACACAGCAAATTGGCCAGTGTTAAAGGGGCAGTGCAGTCAAAAACGTGATTTCAAAAAAATATATATATATATATTTCCACACTATGAGGTCGAAATTACACTCTGAAATTGTGAAAATGATGGCCTTTTAGTGTAGAAAAAAAACGGCTGGAATTTTAGCCTGTTTGGGTGGAATGGCGTTTTTGGCCCACAGCATGATATTAGAGTTCTCATCGGGCCTGAAAAGTTGAGCCCGGTCAACCCAAGCCCGGTGAGCTGAAGCCCGGGCTTCCGACGTCACAGAAATTAAATTAGCCCGAACGCCAAAAAAAGCCTGATATATAGAAAACAGTATATTGAGTTAAACTGGTGTTGAGAAGAATGCAGCCATTGGGCCTAGAAAAAGCACAGAGAGAGGAAAACTCACATTAGTTAAGAATGGCGAAAATATTGGAACAAAGTAGGCTAATACAATTGAAGGCATTAATCAAATTCTTGCTTATAGGCCTACTGAAACTCCCAAAGTCATTTCCAACCGTTATACTAATTTAAAGCAATAGTTGTGTATGGCCACCTAGATGATCATTTCAGCACTGTTTTGATTGGGACAGCGCCATCGTGCTGCTTTGAGACAAGCATGGGGGACTTTTGGTTTTCACTGAATCCCAGTTTTGATATTTGGTAACAATTAGGCTGGGTAAATGTTAACTAAGTTGAGTTGAGTGAGTGCTCATGATCATTTTTATTCTAGTTTGCTCATATGAACATTTTGCTAGCATGTTATGTAGCTTAACAAGTGGATTTTGTGCTTCACTTGCGTAGTAGCCTGTCCTACTGCCGAGTCTCGACCAAAAGCCTGTGACTTGTCTGATAATCAATCAATGTAATTTTGTTTCACTGAATCTCTGTCTGTATATTTGGTTAATTGAACTCTGGTTGGATAAGTGGAAGTGGTAGCTCATTTATTCGTTTGTTCATCTATCCCTGATCAGAAACATTTAGCATGCAATAATGTAGCCTAAATCAAGTGTAGCCCATTATTTTGCTCTTGACTCACATACAGTGAATTCTGAAAGTATACAGACCCATTTTTCCACATTTTGTTACGTTACAGTCTTATTCTAAAATTGATTTAATTGTTTTTTTCCCCCTCAATCTACTCACAATACCCCATAATGACAAAGCAAAAACAGGTTTTTATAAAATATTCCAAAAAATATAAAAGAAACTGAAATATCACATTTATATTAGTATTCAGACCCTTTACTCAATAATTTGTTGAAGTACCTTTGGCAGCGATTACAGCCTTGAGTCTTCTTGGGTATGACGCTACAAGCTTGGCCACCTGTATTTGGGGAGTTTCTCCCATTCTTCTCTGCAGGTTCTCTCAAGCTCTGTCAGGTTGGATTGGGAGCGTTGCCACACAGCTATTTTCTCTCCAGAGATGTTAGATCGGGCTCAAGCCTGGGCTCTGGCTGGGCCTCTCAAGGACATTCAGAGACTTGTCCCAAAGCCACTCCTGCGTTGTTTTGGCTGTTTGCTTAGGGTTGTTGTCCTGTTGGAAGGTGAACCTTTGCCCCAGTCTGAGGTCCTGAGCGCTCTCGAGCAGGTTTTCATCAAGGATCTCTCTGTACTTTGCTCCGTTCATCTTTGCCTCGATCCTGACTAGTCTTCCAGTCCTTGCCGCTGAAAAACATCCCCACAGCATGATGCTGGTACCACCTTGCTTCATCGTAGGGATGGTGCCAGGTTTCCTCAGATGTGACGCTTGGCATTCAGGCCAAAGAGTTCAATCTTAGTTTCATCAGACCAGAGAATCTTGTTTCTCATGGTCTGAGAGTCCTTTAGGTGCCTTTTGGCAAACTCCAAGCGGGCTGTCATGTGCCTTTTACTGAGGAATGGCCACTTTACCATAAAGGCCTGATTGGTGGAGTGCTGCAGAGATGGTTATCCTTCTGGATGGTTCTCCCATCTCCACAGAGGAACTCTGGAGCTCTGTCAGAGTGACAATCGGGTTCTTGATCACCTCCCTGACCAAGGCCCTTCTCCCCGATTTGCTCAGTTTGGCCGGGCGGCCAGCTCTAGGAAGAGTCTTGGTGGTTCCAAACTTCTTCCATTTAAGAATGATGGAGGCCACAGTGTTCTTGGGGACCTTCAATGCTGCAGAAATGTTTTAGTACCCTTCCCCAGATCTGTGCCTCGACACAATCCTGTCTTGGAGCTCTACGGACAATTCCTTTGACCTCATGGCTTGGTTTCTGACATGCACTGTCAACTGTGGGACCTTATATAGACAGGTGTGTGCCTTTCCAAATCATGTCCAATCAATTGAATTTACCACAGGTGGTCTCCAATCAAGTTGTAGAAACATCTCAAGGATGATCAATGGAAACAGGATGCACCTGAGCTCAATTTCAAGTCTCATAGCTAAGGGTCTGAATACTTATGTAAATAAGGTATTTCTGTTTTTTATTTGTAATACATTTGCCCAAATGTCTAAAAACCTATTTTCGCTTAGTCATTATGGGGTATTGTGTGTAGATTGATGAGGGAATTTTTTTAATTTAATCCATTTTAGAATAAGGCTGTATCGTAACAAAATGTGGAAAAAGTGAAGGCGTCTGAATACTTTCCAAATGCACTGTAGTAGCCTTATATAATCTATCCACCAACGAGCTGTAAGAGCACATCCTGTTTTATCTGTCTTAATGTTACATCAATGTAATTAATTAATCAATCAATCATTCATTCATTCATGTCATTACATAGAATACGAGTCATTCATGACTTTAAATATTTAAAAAACGTTTATTTTGAAATGAAATAACAAAGAGAGCCTTGAATAATAAAACAATAAGTAAATAACTAGATTTTCTGCCAAACCTCCATTTGAATAATCGCTCAAAAGCCCCGTGTTTTGAATGCATGTTTGATTAGGAAAACATTTGGATCATTTATGGGTCTACTTTTGATAGTTGCAAGGTCCAGCAAGGCGCATTAGCAGGGCAGTCATAGGGTGTATTTTGTTTGGATGTATCGGCGTTACCAGATGCCATTGGAATATGGCTGTCGTGGTCTTGTGCATCATCATTCTTCTGAGTGCACTCCAGCCCATTCGTATCACAATTTGAAACATTTCAATCATTCGAAAATAAGTTTCATCATGGCCACAAATTTCTCCGGCCCAGCCAATATTGGAATCCTGGCGCCACTAGTTTCTGCAGCTGCTGCGGCTGAGAGCCATAGTAGGCTAAAAGGTGCGCAGACAAACCGTTTTTTTTCTTAACACAGCACGGCAAGCCTGAAACCCGCCCAGGCCCCGTCGGATTCGGTCTAAGAACTCGACATGACATCACAATCTGATCTGGTTATTCTGACCAATGACCCAGTCATCTTTTATTTGCATATTTATCCTCCTACTTTGAAGGGGGTAAGCGGGATAGGCTGTAGTCTAGAGTCTAGACGATTCTATCCGCCAATCAGGGCTGTGTATGTAAAGATATTTACATTTGTATCAACACACCCACACAATCAGACTGAGATTTCAATGGCAAAAGGAAGCTCAGGGAATTTAATGATTAATTAAATTAATTAAATAAACACACTCAGTGATTTATTAGAGTGATGATTTCAAAATAAAATTAAAGAGACTGTATGGGGGCTTTAACTAGTGTTGATTTTTCAGTGTAACATTTGTAGTGTTGATTCAGGTAAAGATTTAAATTAACACTCAGTGGTATAAAATAACCTCAGTGTTGGTCTTAATAACCAGAGTTGAACCAAAACCACAGCCATCATTATCATATTACCCAGTATGCTCTATTGCAGGTTGATTTTTGAATTGTTTGTTTCAATTCCTATGTTTTTGCATGTACATTGATTGATTTATTAATCTTATGCTACTCAAATATAAATAACATATATTTTTCTAAACTAATCCAATCTGTTACTTGGACCCGTTACTGAAATTTTTGTTCCAGTTTAGATACTTTAGGTAATCTCATATCTTAGTCTTCCCAACCTTGGCAGTCATTCTGAATGCAGGTTGCAGGGGAATAGACATTCCAAATGTTGGATATCCCCACTCTGGCTGGATTCCAACAGGAATTACACATCACTTTGCAAGCCAGCATAATGTTACTTGCAGGCCTGATGTGGCCTTTAAACCATGAGTTTCAGGCCACTGTATTAAGGTAATAGGCCCTCAAAATAAGGCCTTATGAAATATGTATTGTATTGTCTTAAAGAATTTGATGATAACATATTCACTTTGGATCTCACTTGGTGAAGGCCCAGGACTGAAAATTAATGAATGCAACAACCATGTGTCTGTCACTAGCAAACACAGTCATAAGTGGAACTGGTAACTCTAAAATTCACTCGAAAGGCACAATGGAAATATGCAAATAAGACTCAACACGCTACAGCTTGGCTATTCAATTCCTGTTCTTGAGGGCCCCAACATTTCTGGTTTTTGTTTCTACATGGATTTTCGTATGGTTTTTCAAAGAACCATCTCATTTAAGGTTATTCAGAGAACCTAAAATGGTTCCCCTATGGCCCTCAAACTCAACTCTGGACCTCAATGTTTTTTCATTGTTCTCTTCTAATCAGGGACTGATTTAGACCTGGGACACCAGGTGGGTGCAGTTCATTGTCAGGTAGAACAGAAAACCAGCAGGCTCTGGACCTCGTAGGGTAATAGTCGAATAACGTGCCCTATCGCATCGCATTGAATAACCTTATTTGGTTCCAACTTGAACCTTTATTTGAGTGTAGAGGAAAACCTTGTAACTTCCTTGCAAATAATTAGCACCTACTGTATATCATCAACCCACACACATGGACAGACATAAAAGAGATGCTTCTGAATATTTGACAAAAAATATATCAAATGATATGCCACTGAGAATTAGTCAGTGACTTTGTATTAAGTCAAAACAGGTGCCAACTGTTCAGTATATATTAGCACATAGATGTACTAAAGACTATACCAGATGTTCTTTTAAGAAACAGACCTAGACTTGCCCTTGTCATACACTACTGTCTTCATTCCTTCCATTGCCTTCCTGGTACATTTCTGTAACCCCCTCCCCACACTGACAAACCCCACTCCTACTCACCCACACAGCCAAGGCCCTCCTGGGACTCCTGGTAGCCCCGGTCACACAGGCAGCGGAAGGATCCGACCGTGTTCTCACAGAAGCCGTGGCTGCCACACACCGTGGCGTTGACGTTGCACTCATCAATATCTGCAGAACGAGGAGGAGAAGGGTCAAGGTTTAGGTAGCTGTTGTTCTATACCGTCTCAGTGGCAGAGGTGGTTCCTCAATTAGGACCAGTTGACCCACAGAACAGCAGAAGCCTACACCCACTGAGCTGCAGTGGAACTAGTCTCAAGTTTGAAGCACATCTCTCATTGGTGTCATTTTTTATGAGTATGAGCATCCAGACAGTTATATTAAATTAATTAAATATTAAATATTTGCTGTGTCCAGAGTTGAGGCAAAGCAGTAAAGTACAGTATACCATGAGCACACAGAGGCAAGGCCAAAAGAAATGAAAAAAGTGTGTGTATGTTTGCATGCACATGTACACTACCGGTCAAACGTTTTAGAACACCTACTCATTCAAAGGTTTTTCTTTATTTTTTTACTATTTTCTACATGGTAGAATAATAGTGAAGACATCAAAACTATTAAATAACACATATGGAATCATGTAGTAACCAAAAACGTGTTAAACAAATAATATATTTTTTAATATATTTTATATTCGCGATTCTTCAAATAGCCACCCTTTGCCTTGATGACAGCTTTGCACACTCTTGGCGTTCTCTCAACCAACTTTATGAGGTAGTCACTTGGAATGCATTTCAATTAACAGGTGTGCCTCCTTAAAAGTTAATTTGTGGAATTTCTTTCCTCCTTAATGTGTTTGAGCCAATCAGTTGTGTTGTGACAAGGTAGGGGTGGTATACAGAACATAGCCCTATTTGGTAAAATGGCAAGAACAGCTCAAATAAGCAAAGAGAAACGACAGTCCATCATTACTTTAAGACATGAAGGTCAGTCAATACGGAACATTTCAAGAACTTTGAAAGTTTCTTCAAGTACAGTCGCAAAAACCATCAAGCGCTATGATGAAACTGGCTCTCATGAGGACCGCCACAGGAAAGGAAGACCCAGAGTTACCTCTGTTGCAGAGGATAAGTTCATTACATTTACATTTACATTTTAGTCATTTAGCAGACGCTCTTATCCAGAGCGACTTACAGTTAGTGAGTGCATACATTATTATTTTTTCATACTGGCCCCCGTGGGAATCGAACCCACAACCCTGGCGTTGCAAACGCCATGCTCTACCAACTGAGCTACATCCCTGCCGGCCATTCCCTCACCTACCCTGGACGACGCTGGGCCAATTGTGCGCCGCCCCGTGGGTCTCACGGTCGCGGCCGGCTACAACAGAGCTTGGATTCGAACCAGGATCTCTAGTGGCACAGCTAGCACTGCGATGCAGAGCCTTAGACCACTGCGCCACTCGCACTCGGGAGTTACCAGCCTCAGAAATTGCAGCCCAAATAAATGCTTCACAGAGTTCAGGTAACAGACACATCTCAACATCAACTGTTCAGAAGAGACTGTGAGAATCAGGCCTTGATTGTCGAATTGGTCCTCTGTAGCTCAATTGGTAGAGCATGGTGCTTGTAACGCCAGGGTAGTGGGTTCGATCCCAGGGACCACCCATACAAAAAAAATGTATGCACACATGACTGTAAGTCGCTTTGTATAAAAGCGTCTGCTAAATGGCATATTATATTATATTATAAACCACTACTAAAGGACACCAATAAGAAGAAGAGACTTGCTTGGGCCAAGAAACACGAGCAATGGATATTAGGCCGGTGGAAATTTGTCCTTTGGTCTAGAGTCCAAATTGGAGATTTTTGTACCAACCGCCGTGTCTTTGTGAGATGCGGTGTGGGTGAACGGATGATCTCCGCATGTGTATTTCCCACCGTAAAGCACGGAGGAGGTGTTGTTATGGTGTGGGGGTGCTTTGCTGGTGACACTGTCTGTGATTTATTTAGAATTCTAGGCACACTTAACCAGCATGGCTACCACAGCATTCTGCAGCGATACGCCATCCCATCTGGTTTGGGCTTAGTGGGACTATTATTCGTTTTTCAACAGGACAATGACCCAACACACCTCCAGGCTGTGTAAGGGCTATTTTACCAAGAAGGAGAGTGACGGAGTGCTGCATCAGATGACCTGGCCTCCACAATCCCCCGACCTCAACCCAATTGAGATGGTTTGGGATGAGGCGGACCGCAGAGTGAAGGAAAAGCAGCCAACAAGTGCTCAGCATATGTGGGAACTCCTTCAAGACTGTTGGAAAAGCATTCCAGGTGTAGTCCCCTGTAGCTCAGTTGGTAGAGCATGGCGCTTGCAACGCCAGGGTTGTGGGTTCGTTTCCCACGGGGGGCCAGTATGAAAATGTATGCACTCACTAACTGTAAGTCGCTCTGGATAAGAGCGTCTGCTAAAATGACAAAAAAAAAAGAAGAAAAAAGCTGGTTGAGAGAATGCCAAGAGTGTGCAAAGCTGTCATCAAGGCAAAGGGTGGCTATTTGAAGAATCGCAAATATAAAATGTATATATACAGTGGGGAGAACAAGTATTTGATACACTGCCGATTTTGCAGGTTTTCCTACTTACAAAGCATGTAGAGGTCTGTAATTTGTATCATAGGTACACTTCAACTGTGAGAGACGGAATCTAAAACAAAAATCCAGAAAATCACATTGTATGATTTTTAAGTAATTAATTTGCATTTTATTGCATGACATAAGTATTTGATCACCTACCAACCAGTAAGAATTCCGGCTCTCACAGACCTGTTAGTATTTCTTTAAGAAGCCCTCCTGTTCTCCACTCATGACCTTTATTAACTGCACCTGTTTGAACTCGTTACCTGTATAAAAGACACCTGTCCACACACTCAATCAAACAGACTCCAACCTCTCCACAATGGCCAAGACCAGAGAGCTGTGTAAGGACATCAGGGATAAAATTGAAGAGCTGCACAAGGCTGGGATGGGCTACAGGACAATAGGCAAGCAGCTTGGTGAGAAGGCAACAACTGTTGCCGCAATTATTAGAAAATGGAAGAAGTTCAAGATGACGGTCAATCACCCTCGGTCTGGGGCTCCATGCAAGATCTCACCTCGTGGGGCATCAATGATCATGAGGAAGGTGAGGGATCAGCCCAGAACTACACGGCAGGACCTGGTCAATGACCTGAAGAGAGCTGGGACCACAGTCTCAAAGAAAACCATTAGTAACACACTACGCTGTCATGGATTAAAATCCTGCAGCGCACGCAAGGTCCCCCTGCTCAAGCCAGCGCATGTCCAGGCCCGTCTGAAGTTTGCCAATGACCATCTGGATGATCCAGAGGAGGAATGGGAGAAGGTCATGTGGTCTGATGAGACTAAAATAGAGCTTTTTGGTCTAAATTCCACTCGCCGTGTTTGGAGGAAGAAGAAGGATGAATACAACCCCAAGAACACCATCCCAACCGTGAAACATGGAGGTGGAAACATCATTCTTTGGTGATGCTTTTCTGCAAAGGGGACAGGACAACTGCACAGTATTGAGGGGAGGATGGATTGGGCCATGTATCGCGAGATCTTGGCCAACAACCTCCTTCCCTCAGTAAGAGCATTGAAGATGGGTCGTGGCTGGGTCTTCCAGCATGACAACGAACCAAAACACACAGCCAGGGCAATTTAGGAGTGGCTCCGTAAGAAGCATCTCAAGGTCCTGGAGTGGCCTAGCCAGTCTCCAGACCTGAACCCAATAGAAAATCTTTGGAGGGAGCTGAAAGTCCGTATTGCCCAGCGACAGCCTGAAACCTGAAGGATCTGGAGAAGGTCTGTATGGAGGAGTGGGCCAAAATCCCTGCTGCAGTGTGTGCAAACCTGGTCAGGAAACGTATGATCTCTGTAATTGCAAACAAAGGTTTCTGTACCAAATATTAAGTTCTGCTTTCTGATGTATCAAATACTTATGTCATGCAATAAAATGCAAATTCATTACTTAAAAATCATACAATGTGATTTTCTGGATTTTTGTTTTAGATTCCGTCTCTCACAGTTGAAGTGTACCTATGATACAAATTACAGACCTCTACATGCTTTGTAAGTAGGAAAACCTGCAAAATCGGCAGTGTATCAAATACTTGTTCTCCCCACTGTATTTGTTTAACACTTTTTTGGTTACTACATGATTCCATATGTGTTATTTCATAGTTTTGATGTCTTCACTATTATTCTACAATGTAGAATAATAGTAAAAATTAAGAAAAACCCTTGAATGAGTAGGTGTTCTAAAACATTTGACCGGTAGTGTACTGTGTGTGTGTGTGTGTGTGTACTGTGTGTGTGTGTGTGTGTGTGTGTGTTTGTACATTAGACTCCACACCCTGCGAAAACTGTAATAAATATGCTCAAATATTAACACAGAAGAACACTAGGAAAATCATGGAGAGCGGTAGACAAAACATGTCTCACATAAACGTCCTCTTGTCTTGGCTGAGCTGGGCAAAGGTGTTCTATGGGGTTGAAGTCAGGGCTCTGTGCAGGCTAGTCAAGTTCTTCCACACCGATTTCGACAAACCATTTCTGTATGGACCTCACTTTGTGCACGGGGGCATTGTCATACTGAAACAGGAAAGGGCCTTCCCCAAACTGTTGCCACAAAGTTGGAAGCACAGAATCGTCTAGAATGTAATTGTATGCTGTAGCGTTAAGATGTACCTTTACTGGAACTAAGGGGCCTAGCCCGAACCATGAAAAACAGCCCCAGACCATTATTCCTCCTCCACAAAACTTTACAGTTGGCACTATGCATTTGGGCAGGTAGCGTTCTCCTGGCATCTGCCAAATCCAGATTTGTCCATCGGACTACCAGATGGTGAAGCGTGATTTATCACTCCAGAGAACGCGTTTCCACTGCTCCAGAGTCCAATGGCGGCGAGCTTTACACCACTCCAGCCAACGCTTGGCATTGCACATGGTGATCTTAGGCTTGGTGCGGCTGCTCGGCCATGGAAACCCATTTCATGAAGCTCCCGAGAAACAGTTGTGCTGAAGTTGCTTCCAGAGGCAGTTTGGAACTCGGTAGTGAGTGTTGCAACTGAGGACAGATGATTTTTACGCGCTTCTGCGGTCCCGTTATGTGAGCTTGTGTGGCCTAACACTTCGCGGCTGAGCCGTTGTTGCTCCTAAACATTTCCACTTCACAATAACAGCACTTACAGTTGACCGGTGCACCTCTGGCAGGGCAGAAATGTTATGAACTGACTTGTTTGAAAAGGTGGCATCCTATGACGGTACCACATTGAATGTCACTGAGCTCTTCAGTAAGGCCATTCTACTGCCAATGCTTGTCTATGTAGTTTGCATGGCTGTGTGCTCGATTTTATACACCTGTCAGCAACGGGTGTGGCTGAAATAGCTGAATCCACTAATTTGGAGGGATGTCCACATACATTTGATTATATAGTGTACATGTACAGGAGTGAAGCCAAGTTGATTCTTTGTAGTGCTCACTGTCTACCAAAAGCAGTTGATAGGACAGAACAAAAATGCATGTAGATGGATGGGGAATGGTATGGAAAGGTGTGTTGATGGGTGAGGGGGTAAGGTGAGTTTTGATGGATGGATGGAGGAGGGTAAGATGAGATACATGGGTGGAAGAGGAGTGCATGACAAGACACTTGATTGGCACTTTAGTATTTTAAAGCGAAGGATTGGATGGGGCGACATCTGAAAGTTTGCAGGGCTATGGCTGCCCTCAAGATGCCCCCATGATGCTGACTCACCCACACAGATGCCCTCTGGGCCATGGTTGTGTCCGGGGGGGCAGTCCACCACACACCTATAGGAGCCCTCCGTGTTCTCACACTGCCACGCCCCACAGATACTCTGCCCCAACTCTGAACACTCATCGATATCTGGGAGAGCACAGAACCACAGTACCCCAGTCAAAACCCAGATAAACACCTATACACCCCACTGAACTGAACACAGTAGCGATGTTTGAATTGTAGTCTTCAGGATATCACCATCGGCATATAGAATGATGGGATATGTAGTTGTGTGACAGAGAGTGTTACCAACCCAGGCAAGTGTCAGTGTCTGCCTGCAGGCGGTAGCCACTGTCACACTGGCATCTGTAGGAACCCTGGCTGTTCTCACAGGAGCTGCCAACACACCTGGTGCCATCCGAGCACTCATCCACGTCTGCAAAGAAACACACATGTACACACACGCACACTCAGCATACCGGTATGCCCCATATGCCAACAAAAAAACATTCTCAAGGGGTGTTTGAAACAAACATCCAACAGTTGAAGACTTGGATGCCCTTGGATATCCTGAATGTCCGTTGACCGAGACTCATAGAAAAAGCTTAACGTTATCAGAGCCAGAGATGAAAGAGACAGAGAGAGAGAGACAACCACAGAAGCAGATGTGACAGGCCACAGCAGGTTTCATCTTCCTCTTGATCTATGCTGGACACAATTCAATCTAGATGTCAAACAGGCCCTCCCTGGAGCCCAACCATCCTTCTTCTTGGGTCAGACCATCCTTTGGCTGTTACAGGGGTGGACAGTCTATGGCCCCTTGGGGGTATTACAGTACTAAAGCTAAGCTGGGGTCTGGGTAGAAGAGCTGTGGGCCTGGACCCCTGTGCTTTGATTGTGGTCCAGGCCTCAGTCCCAGTCTGCTCCTCAGCTGTGGTTCTGCTGGTCCAAGATAAACAGGGGTAGTGGTGGGCTGAGCTGGAGGGACTGAGCTGGGGGGCGCTGAGGTGTTTTATGGCCTATTGCTGGTTCACTGGGCCCATGTTCCCAGGATTAAACAAGGTCGTGGCCCCACCTCAGGGGGGCCTATTGTGGAGACATGTTCAGGCTGAAAACATGTTTATACCACAGGGAGAAGGGGAGAGGAGAACTCCCCTAACAGTAAATGCTATTTCCTCTGCTTGCCTCCTTTTGCCTTGGGAGGATCATATGTCTGTCTATAGCTAATTGGAATCCCAACCCTCAGCCTCAGTGATGGCACCTGCAAAAGTAATCTGCTGTTAACTCTGCTGAAGGATGACCTGTTGGACAGCTTTACAGACTTGTACAACATGCAAGATGCTCACGTACTATGGAGCATCCGCCTAATTCATTTCCTTAGTGAATACTATCGTAGTTGTAATTGCTTATGTTGTCCAGAACTCCATAAGTACACTACCGTTCAAATGTTTGGGGTCACTTAGAAATGTCCTTATTTTAGAAAGAAAAGCAATTTGTTTGTCCATTAAAATAACATCAAAATGATCAGAAATACAGTGTAGACATTGTTAATGTTGTAAATGGCTATTGTAGCTGGAAACGGCTGATTTTTAATGGAATATCTACATAGGCGTACAGAGGCCCATTATCAGCAACCATCAGTCCTGTGTTCCAATGGCACATTGTGTTTGCTAATCCAAGTTTATCATTTAAAAAAGGCTAATTGATCATTAGAAAACCCTTTTGCAATTATGTTAGCACAGCTGAAAACTGTTGTGCTGATTAAAGAAGCAATAAAACTTGAGACTAGTTGAGTATCTGGAGCATCAGCAATTGTGGGTTCGATTACAGGCTCAAAATGGCCAGAAAAAAAGAACTTTCTTCTGAAACTCGTCAGTCTATTCTTGTTCTGAGAAATGAAGGCTATTCCATGCGAGAAATTGCCAAGAAACTGAAGATCTCGTACAACACTGTGTACTACTCCCTTCACAGAACAGCGCAAACTGGCTCTAACCAGAATAGAAAGAGGAGTGGGATGCCCCGGTGCACAACTGAGCAAGAGGACAAATACATTAGAGTGTCTGGTTTGAGAAACAGACGCCTCACAGGTCCTCAACAGGCATCTTCATTAAATAGTACCCGCAAAACACCAGTCTCAACGTCAACAGTGAAGAGGCGACTCCGGGATGCTGACCTTCTAGGCAAAGCTGCAAAGAAAAAGCCATATCTCAGACTGGCCAATAAAAATAAAAGATTAAGATGGGCAAAAGAACACAGACACTGGATAGAGGAAGATTGGAAAAAAAGTGTTACGGACAGACGAATCGAAGTTTGAGGTGTTCGGATCACAAAGAAGAACATTTGTGAGACGCAGACCAAATTATGGAGGCAATGCGATGGTCTGGGGGTGCTTTGGTGGTGGTAAAGTGGGAGATTTGTACAGGGTAAAAGGGATCTTGAAGAAGGAAGGCTATCACGCCATTTTGCAACGCCATGCCATACCCTGTGGACGGCGCTTGATTGGAGTCCATTTCCTCCTACAACAGGACAATGACCCAAAGCACAGCTCCAAACTATGTAAGAACTATTTCGGGAAGAAGCAGTCAGCTGGTATTTTGTCTATAATGGAGAGGCCAGTACAGTCACCGGATCTCAACCCTATTGAGCTGTTGTGGGAGCAGCTTGACCGTATGGTACGTAAGAAGTGCCCATCAAGCCAATCCAACTTGTGGGAGGTGCTTCAGGAAGCATGGGGTGAAATCTCTTCAGATTACCTCAACAAATTGACAACTAGAATGCCAAAGGTCTGCAAGGCTGTAATTGCTGCAAATGGAGGATTCTTTGACGAAAGCAAAGTTTGAAGGACACAATTATTATTTCAATTAAAAATCATTATTTCTAACCTTGTCAATGACTACATGTACTATTCATTTTGCTATATTTCCTATTCAAACTCATTTCATGTATGTTTTCATGGAAAACAAGGACATTTCTAAGTGACCCCAAACTTTTGAACGGTAGTGTATGTATGTATGCCTGCCCGCCCACACGCACACACACACGCACACGGAAGACCTCACTGACTAAGCCTGAGCTCCTGCATAAATCAGGAGTGACAGAGTACAGGAGAAAATATTCCTCCTTGTCTAGACAGCGAGCTCAAAGGCTTCCTTCTCTGTTTTTTCTCTTTTTTTACTGCAGGAAAGGGCATTTAAAACAACTCTGGCATGGGGCAAGACTCCTGGCATGAAGGTCTTTGGTGGAAAAATAGCAGAAGCCATATGTGAAAGAAATTAAAGCCACTCTCTTCCAGGAGCAACAAGGCATCGGCAGGGAGAGAGACAGTGCCAGCAGAGCGGAGGGAACATGCGGCATGAGACGGAGGCGTTAGACAAGCATCCGACTAACATCGTATAAATGTCAGATAAACATCAGTTGAACCAGAGAAAACCACAACCAAACATGGGACTGCTATCAATCAAACCACCGCTTAAGAACTGATGCTGGAGGAAACAGGTACAAAAGTATCTATATCCACAGTAAAACGAGTGCTATATCGACATAACCTGAAAGGCCGCTCAGCAAGGAAAAAGCCACTGCTCCAAAGCCGCCATAAAAAAGCCAGACTACGGTTTGCAACTGCACAAGGGGACAAAGATTGTACTTTTTAGAGAAATGTCCTCTGGTCTGATGAAACAAAATTAGAACTGTTTGGCCATAATGACCATCGTTATTTTTGGAGGAAAAAAGGGGGTGGCAGAATCATGTTGTGGGGGTGCTTTGCTGCAGAAGATCTGGTGCACTTCACAAAATAGATGGCATCATGAGGAAGGAAAATTATGTGGATATATTGAAGCAACATCTCAAGGTATCAGTCAGGAAGTTACAGCTTGGTTGCAAATGGGTCTTCCAAATGGACAATGACCCCAAGCATACTTCCAAAGTTGTGGGAAAATGGCTTAAGGACAACAAAGTCAAGGTATTGGAGTGGCCATCACAAAGCCCTGACCTCAATCCTACAGAAAATGTGTGGGCAGAACTGAAAAAGCGTGTGCGAGCAAGGAGGCCTACAAACCTGACTCAGTTACACAAGCTCTGTCAGGAGGAATGGACCAAAATTCACCCAACTTATTGTGGGAAGCTTGTGGAAGGCTACCCGAAACGTTTGACCTAAGTTAAACAGTTTAAAGGCAATGCTACCAAATACTAATTGAGTGTATGTAAACTTCTGACCCACTGGGAATGTGATGAAAGAAATAAAAGCTTAAATAAATAATTCTCTCTACTATTATTCTGACATTTCACATTCTTAAAATAAAGTGGTGATCCTAACTGACCTAAGACAGGGAATTTTTATTAGGAATAAATGTCAGGAATTGTGAAAAACTGAGTTTAAATGTATTTGGCTAAGGTGTATGTAAACATCCGACTTCAACTGTATACAAATGTATGTGGACACCTCTTCAAATTAGTGGATTCGGCTATTTCAGCCACACCCGTTTCTGACAGGTGTATACAATCGAGCACACAGCCATGCAATGTCCATAGACAAACATTGTCAGTAGAATGGCCTTACTGAAGAGCTGACATTCAACGTGGCACCGTCATAGGATGCCACCTTTCCAACAAGTCAGTTCGTCAAATTTCTGCGCTGCTAGAGCTTCCCCGGTCAACTGTAAGTGCTGTTATTGTGAAGTGGAAACGTCTAGGTGCAACAATGGCATGGCTGTGAAGTGGTAGGCCACACAAGCTCACAGAACAGGACTGCCGAATGCGGAAGCGCGTAGCGCATAAAAATTGTCTGTCCTCGGTTGCAACACTCACTACCGAGTTCCAAACTGCCTCTGGAAGCAACGTCAGCACAGGAACTGTTCGGCGGGAGCTTCATGAAATGGGTTTCCATGGCAGAGCAGCCGCACACAAGCCTAAGATCACCATGCGCAATGCCAAGCATCGGTTGGAGTGGTGTAAAGCTCGCCGCCATCTGACTCTGGAGCAATGAATCACGCTTCACCATCTGGCAGTCCGACGGACTAATCTGGGTTTGGTGGATGCCAGGAGAGCATTACCTGCCCCAATGCATAGTGCCAACTGTAAAGTTTGGTGGAGGAGGAATAATGGTCTGGGGCTGTTTTTCATGGTTTGTGCTTGGCCCCTTAGTTCCAGTGAAGGAAATCTTAACGCCACAGCATACAATGATATTCTAGACGATTCTGTGCTTCCAACTTTGTGGTAACAGTTTGGGGAAGGCCCTTTCCTGTTTCAGCATAACAATGCCCCCATGCACAAAGCGCGATCGGTGTGGAAGAACTTGACTGGCCTGCATAGAGCCCTGTCCTCAATCCCATCGAACACCTTTGGGATGAATTGGAACGCCGACTTTGAGCCAGGCCTAATCTCCCAACATCAGTGCCCGACCTCACTAATGCTCTTGTGGCTGAATGGAAGCAAGTCCCCGCAGCAATGTTCCAACATCTAGTGAAAAGCCTTCCCAGAAGAGTGGAGGCTCCATATTAATGCCTGTAATTTTGGAATGAGATGTTCGACGAGCAGGTGTCCACATTCTTTTGGTCATGTAGTGTATGTTTAAACTGTACATGCGTGCGCACACATACCCGCAAACAAGACAGAACGATGGATTGCCAAACTAATCTACCAAATTGGTGGAAGGAATTTGAATGCAGAGCCAAGCCACTCCAGTAATTTCGATGCTCCTGATTATTTGTGAGGGTAGGAGAATGTTCAGTCACATACCGACACACTGTCCTCCCTGGCCCTGGAAGCCCTTTGGACACAGATCACACTCATACGAGCCTGGGAAGTTGATGCACAGGCCGGACGGACACACACCCAAGTCCAGACACTCATTTATATCTATGAGAGAGAGTGAGAGAGAAAGAAAGAGAGAGAGTTAGGAACATAAAAGAGAGGCAAGGAGAGAATCAACACCAGAAAAGGCCATTGGTTTGAGTGGGATGAGTGGGTGATGTGTGAGTAAGCCATATGCATACCATGTTGTTGATAGGGCAAAAACAGCCCTGCCCTTGTCTTACCATGAAACCCCCTCTAATTCTCCTGCCCCTAAAGCTCTCAAACTAGAACCCAAATGTGTGAAGGGTGCGTCAAGTACCTTCACACTGGCCTGTTGGGCTCATCCTGTAGCCACTGTCACAGTGCTGACAGCTGTAGGAACCCACGTTGTTGACACAAAAACCATCCTCATGACAAGCGTTGGGGTTCAGACACTCGTTTAAATCTGAGAAAGGGATGCAGAGAAGGAGAGAGGGAGGGAGAGAGGGATAGAGAGAGATGGAGATGGGAGAGAGGGAGAGATTTGAGGATAGCAGAGCGGTCACTTGGCTCCAACAAAGACAGTAAATTCAAGAATCTTTCAAGAATAATCATTCCTTTTTTGGTACTCACCCGAATCCATTAAGCATAATTCCCAAAACCCTGGCGAAATGTACCAATAATTCTAGTGCTATGTCACTAATGTTTTACAAACATGTCAGACACTTCTCCGTCCAATATCAGCAAGGGTAGCTTAAGTTCAGGCTAAAGTGATAGAATCTCTTGATCTGTCCATTGATCTGTGCCAGACCTCCATTTACCAGGGTATCCAGGGTACCACTCCCTTCCTTAGAAAACAAACATCCCCCACCCTGACGTAGAGTGTAAATCCATGAGTCAACAAAACAAGTTACAGATTGCACATAGAGTGCACACTTTCTTTCTGTTTTAACGTGGCATGTAGTGTTGCTTCTGGGTAAGTTAGTGTACTCAATGTCTTTTTAGTCTAGTTTTCATCCAGTCACTGAACGTTCCATCTGCCTACAAAATATTTAGGGTTGTCGTCCTCAAGTTGCCTGTTTTGGTGCTCTTCTTAATAATAGATCAATTACTCATATCCACATATAAATCCCTTGCAAACAGTAATACATTATACCCTCATATTTCATTTTCAGATGTTCGACTGTTACACTGCAGTTATGGGGAAATAATCACCGGCTTTTTGCCTCTGCAAACCTCATTTTGTGTCATTTTGTGGAAGAGAAAACGTGTGTAGAAACACCAGAAACCACCTAATGACAGTGTACACAGTATTTATATCCCAGGATGGGGAGAATGATGGGGAGGACATTGCTAATGGGCCACACTGTGGTCACCTCCTAAAACACAGCCCCTATCTCCAGGGAGGGTGGCTAAGCCAACGGGGAACTATACTGAAGACAACTGGGGAAATGAAATGAAAACACCCAAACGGCAATCCAAATGCGTGTTGCTGCGGTGCACAACATGTATTGAATCTCCTAGGCTTCTACTACTGTTTTTGGTGTGTCTCTGTATTTCAGGGAGTGTGGTGGTATGTGTGTGAAATGGCTTTACCAATGCAACTGGTTCCCTCCTCATCTGTCATGAAGCCTGGTTGGCACACACACAGGAAGCTGCCGGGAGTGTTCTTGCAGCGGCCGTTGGAGCACAATGATGCAGACTCCAGGCATTCATCAACATCTGTCCACAGATACAGCATGGCAGGAGACATGGGATGGAACATGGGTCAACTTGCTTAGAGACATACTGACATGCTAAAGTCATTCGATTAAAGTAGCATGAGATGCAATTAATATAGATACATTGAATATAGTGTTAATTTCAAACCATCACTATAGCAAAGAGGTTGCTAAAGGATTCTCCAACTCTACATTTCTACATAACTATTCATTCATCAACAGAGGCCTCCAAAATGCTGAAAGGCTAGTAAAATCATTCCCATTTAATGATGTAATTAAATTAATCTACCTTCAGGGGGCAATGTGAAGAGTGAAAGCCTAATAAAATCAGACCAAATGAGAAGAACACTATTCCCATTGGTCTGATAAATGGATGTGACCTTTGACTTCTTGTTTCTCACCTACACAGGTGGTGTGTGTCTCGTCCATCTGGTAGCCCTCGTTACAGATGCAGTTATAACCCTCCACAGTGTTGTAGCAGATCCCCTGGCCACAGATGTGAGGGTTGACCTTGCACTCATCCACCTCTGGCCAAGAGAAGAGAGATAGAGAGAGATATAGAGAGAGATAGAGAGAGATAGAGAGAGATAGAGATAGAGAGAGAGAGAGAGAGAGAGAGAGAGAGAGATATAGAGAGAGATAGAGAGAGAGAGAGAGAGATAGAGAGATAGAGAGATAGAGAGAGAGAAGAGAGAGAGAGAGAAAGAAACCTCATGCTACTCTTCAAATACTAAATACATAAATACAGTTTCAATATTTGCGGCATAAATAAATCTATTCCATTCCTGCAAATGGCCTTTCCTCTCCCTAGCCGATAGTCTCATCAGCATCCCACTCATGGCTGCAAATGTGTTGCTGTATGACAAATCTGGTCAGTATGTGCATCAATCTGTCTACTCAGTCTTGACTGTGGGTAATTGCCTTACATACCACATAGGAAAAGTAGGGAATAGAGTAAATCATAGTGTCTAATACCCATCAAAAGGCACCGATATGCAGACATATTACAGAAGTGGACCACTGGGTCTACAGTTCCTAGAGACGTCAGGACTCCATATAAGCCGAAACTGCACAACTGTCAAATCACAGTGACTGAAAGGTTGGGCCATTTTCGAACTTGATGAGAAGTAGAGAAAATGAAAGGGGGATTTAATTAGTGGTGATAGATTGTCACATGGCATTCTATCAAAAGACATTATCAATATATTACCTAAGAATTACAGTGTTTTACTGAGGTAGTCAAAATGTCAGCAGGCTCGATAGCACATTAACAATACATTACTCCTCTCTGATGTATGCTATTAATAACGACTGGGCTTCTTCATAGCTCAGCAGGCCAGTATGGTGGAATTAAATTAATTGAAGTATTACTGTACACATTTCAATAGGTGAGGTTTCTTTGCTCAAATATGCTACAGTGGCATCGCCTCAGAAATACAGTTAAATGACTGTTGTGTTTTATATAGGATTTAGGGAGGACATCAGTCAAACAGAGGAGGATGGGCTCCTGCTCTAATGTCTGCTTACTCTTGGTCGAGTGTTATTGTTGAGCACTTTGTGACAAACATATTTGTAAAAAGCACTATAATTTCATTGATTGACTAATTGATTGCTTGGTTGAGGTGCAGAATGCTTAGCGAGTGTAATTATTAGTACATCTTAAAGAGCATCTTCGACGTGGTACAATCAAACTATTGTTGTGTTTTATAGAGGATTTACTTTAAAAATAAACATCACGTCCAGAATGATTAGCAAGCATTGAGGCACAGAGACCAGAGTCTAATCACAGTAAGGATGATTAAGAAAAGAGGGAGGCAATTATGCCGCCCAGTTTACTGAGTGTCTGTCATCAGGAAGCCTCATAACATTTCTGTGGTCTCTTAATATAGTGTCACCTTTCTGGGACACCAGGACGTAAAACGCTGAGATGAGAGAGGTCTGGGGGTTTGGATATCCGCCTAGCAAAAATAAACCAAAATACCCCTGCGGTCCCCTGATTAGTCCAATAGGTTTATGTGGGCCTGGCACCAGATAGTTCCACTCCCTTCCCTCCACACTCGTCTCCGTGCCGACACTCTCTCTCCTCTACTGCTCTGAAAATTCCCGTCTTCCTCGTCCAGGGTATCAAAATAAAAACAGGTGGGTTTCGCACAAGTGGTTGCCTAGCAATGGCACCAATCACTGTCCTTCCCCTTCTCATTTGAAGAACCACGGCAACAAAATCTAAAATTGGAATCTCTTAAATAAAACAATACAGGACCCAAATACATTTCAGTGAGGGTCAGCTGAGAAAGAAAACGTTTCTCAGCATTTTCATTGGAGTGATTTGAAGCCATAATGATGTTGTTAGACTATTCACATCTAGTGGAGAGAGAGACGTCATGTTGCTGTGGCCCCTTAACAACAACACATGCTTCCTAAATATAGAAGAGAGCGAAATATTCTCACAACGGGGGAGAACCCCAAGGACAAAGAAAGGAGGTCATGGAGAATTAGAAAGTGCCATGTTCCCAGTCTGCGCAAATTCCTCTTATCGGCCTATTTTTTGCCCATGACCTGTGAGGAATTCAGATACAGGGTTAAACACAAATAAAGGGTCAGTTAATGGGCGAGTGTGGGAGATAACACTGGGCGAGTGTGGGAGATAACACTGGGCGAGTGTGGGAGATAACACTGGGCGAGTGTGGGAGATAACACTGGGCGAGTGTGGGAGATAACACTGGGTGTATTTATGAACTAATCATGTGTCCCCTTCAGGCCTCTATTCATTCATGATTTCTACACAATCAGCTTGGGATAGCTTAGATAGAGAATGTAGCAGGGATAGTAGGTATCAACCCGTCAGCAGCACATTGACCTAACACTAAACTACGTCCAAATGTCACGGTGTTACTGTGTGTTACTGTATGTCAGTGTGAGCTCTTACCTGCGGACTGAGTAGGGGCGATGTCCTGGCCAGCGTTGGTGGGGAGGATCAGGGCTGGAGCAGGGGGGGACGTTTTCTCCACAACTTCTGAGAGACCAGGACAGATAGAGCCAGGGGAGAGAACAGTGCAGTCAAACTTTCTGTGATCTTTAAAATGAGTGCTTCAATGTGTAAAACTGTAATACAGAGCGCTGTAGAAATCAACAATCCCAGTGGACAGAGACAAATCACTCTTCACCATCAAGTGCTGAGCTGACAGTTGTTTAAAGATTTTTCCAGCTTGGATATGTATTGAATGGAACAATAAAACAACCCTTTTTACAACAATTGAAACCTTGCGTTTCAATTAAGATAACCCTAGACTTGAGTCTGGAGAAGACCCATCACAGGCGGCAGGTGGCTTAGTGGTTAAGAGCGTTGTGCCAGTAACCAAAAGGTCGCTGGTTCTAATCCCCGAGCCGACTAGGTGAAAAATCTGTCGATGTGCCCTTGAGCAAGGCACTTAACCCTAATTGCTCCTGTAAGTCGCTCTGGATAAGAGCGTCTGCTAAATGACTAAAATGTAAAATGTAAAAATGTAAGACCCATCACAAATGGCAGGTGCTCTTTTCCGTATGACAATTAGTCCTGTTACAGGGGAAAGACCACAAGATATTTTTCAAACCAACACATTTTCATTTTTATTCTGTCAGGTAAAATTGACTGAAAAGCACCAGTGGATACCCACTTACATAGAATACAGTACAGTGCCAAAACAACCATCATAATTAAATAACTTGCGGACTTTCCCCTGCGAGAGTGAGCCCAGCCCAGTGAGACTGAAATAGCAGCAGAGAGAGAAGAGGGGAAGGAAATGGATGAGACACCTTTGTAGGCCGGCTCCATCCTCATGGTAGAGACACCGGGAGAGAGCTGTGGCTGCCCAGCCTCGGCCTCAACTATTGGACTACTACTAGTAGCCTCCAGAATAACCAGCTCCTTAAAGGACAGAACACAAGACAAACACAATATGGACCTCAGGGTCAATGGACTGATCCATATAGACATGTGAACTCGGAGGTTTCAGTGAGCAAGCGCCGTTCATGCACCGCTGTCATGCGTGCGCTCGTCATATAGGCTGCTCAGCAGTAAACTAATTGGAGATCCGCTTGCATGACAGCTGAAGGAAGGAAAAAGCTTGAAGGGCTTGTAGCGCAAGATGGTGGGAAGCGAAACATGGGTTTTCATTGAGTAGACAGGGTCTATAGTTGTCAGTTGTGTGGACTCCAACTTGACTTCAGCTTTTTTTTTTTACCTTTGGAGTTTCTCTAGGATGTCAAAATGGATTGTGCAATAGTGTTTACTTACTCTGCCCTTATCAAAGCGCTTTAAAGAGTTTCAAGCAGCTGAGTCCACTGTTCCTCTGAAAGAACCAAGACCGGATATTGTAAAAGAGAGCTTCTATATTTACGTAATAATACAATACTAAATCCATTACAGAAAGGTTTCAGGACTGTTCCGTTTTGGAGACTCTTAGGCTGCGTTTACACAGGCAGCCCGATTCTGATCATTTGCCCAATTATTGGCAAAAGAGCTGATCTGATTGGTCAAAAGACCAATTAGTGGAAAAATATCAGAATTGGGCTGCCTGTGTAAACGCATCCATACAGTATGAGGCTGGACAAAGTGCAAAGAGCAAAGTCTTAGCAGCTGTGATTGGCATTGACATAGATGTTCCACTGTGAAGTGTTCTTAGGCTGAAAGCATGGAGCAGTGATTGGCTCAAAGTCATGCAGTGGCGATGCTGACTTCATGCAGAGGTGATGCTGCGGGCTGCTTCTGCAGGTCGTTGCCATAGAGTCTAAAGGGTGAATACTTCTTGTCGCATGCAAGAAAGCTTTTTTCTTTTCCGTTTTTTTTGTTGCAGAAGAAACCCAACCTACCTGCTCAGGTGCATCTGTGGCTACTGGCCATAAAAACAAACAAAAAACAAACAAAACAAGAGTGAGATCAAAAAAGAGTGGGACCATTTGGAAGCACAAGGCTGGATATACCTGCCCTTGACTACCAAGGTTTGTCAGAGGCAAGTACATCATATACTTAGATTTTTAGGACACAATTTACATTATATTTCTCCATTAAATATATTCAGGCTTTTGAATAAATCAATAAACCTTTCCGGCTGGTGCCAGAGGACCAATCATTTGCAATTCATAAGACTGTCAACTTTACAGGCTCTGGAGTACTTTTAGCTGTTCATGACCGCGTCGAAACATGATCTTTTTCATAGCAACGGACAAATGTTAATCAGTTACAAGGTCGTTCCACTAACACCTTATTTTAAACACTGGACAAATGCCATGTTATAACTCAACCCTCTGGCGTTTTTCCGGTATTCAGATCTTGAGGTCATAAAAACAAACCGGATTGCAATGAATGTAGCATAACATTGGGCGTAAATAAATCCCCTCCACCAGGATCTTTAGCTCAGTGGTGCCAGCTTTAGCCCCTTGTGGCATGCAAACACTCATCTACACAGGTTTGGGCAGTGGCTCTCTCTCTTATTGTTTGTCTGAGTCTGTCCTCGGCATTGGAATCCTCTGTACTCGGAGCTCAAGAGAAGCTTAGCAGTAATTTGGACAAGTCCGTGCGCTCTAATGCTGCCAAGTTTCTCTTTCCCTCGCCGGCTCCCAAGCATGTCCTGAATAATAAGAAAGAGGAGCTCCATCTCTCCTCTCTCAAAGGATCCAGGAGTTTGAGAGGCGAGGGCAAGCCAAAGCATGTGAATCCTCATCATCCTGTCCAGGGTGGAACTGAATTGATGTCTGGTTGAGAGATCTTTTTAAAGACCCCCCACACACTCACACACGCATACAAATACAAATCTGTTTTGTGTTTAGTTTCACTTACAGTAACAGTCAAAAGTTTGGACACACCTATTCATTCAAGGGTTTTTCTTTATTTTTACTATTTTCTACATTGTGGAATAATAGTGAAGACATCAAAACTATGAAATAACACATATGGAATCATGTAGTAACCAATAAAGTCTTACACAAATCAAAATATATTTGAGATTTGAGATTCTTCAAATAGCCACCCTTTGCCTTGATGACAGCTTTGCACACTCTTAAGAAAAACCCTTCAATGAGTAGGTGTGTCAAAACTTTTGACTGGTAGTGTATATGCTGCGTTGAATTGTTGAACGGGTGGATTACTCCTTATTTGGATCAAAAAGTTGTACACGGAATTCCACATATCAAAACAGCCCCACGTAGTGAAAAGACAAGAGCATGGCCCCAGGGCCCATGTGTTTTAGTGTATGACGCCAAATTCCATAGAGCACTGCACTTGGATTCTAAAAGACCATGCAACTCCTATCTATGAGTCACACTAAGTCCCAGCTCAGCCCAATGTTCTGTCTTTCCATAGTACATTAGTAAAGATGGCTTCTCCTCTACTGTTGCTTGCTGTGTGGTGTAGTGTTGACTCGCCTGGTACAGAGGGAATTGCATGTTGACGACTTACCTGGTACAGAGGGAAGCTGTCTCTCAGCTACGCTCAAGGCCTCCACTGGTTTCTCAGGTGTCGGGAGGGGCAGAGGCGGGGCCACAGGCTCTTGGTGGGTGATCATTGGCTTGTTGATGGTCTCAGGTTGGCTGGGTAGTTTGGGTAGTTGATTGGGTGCTTTGGGCTTGTAAGATCCCATGACAGTGTAGCCCATCCCACCAGGGCATATCTCCTTGAATTTAGCTACATTTAAAAAAAGAAAAATACAGTAAGCATATACATTCTTTATTTAAGGCAAAAAATATATACATCCATTTCGGTCCCAAAGAACTGGCCACATGAAATATGACTAATTTGGCTGATATTTTATTTTATTTAACTCCAATGTAACGTACAATAGGTTACATGCTGTTTGTATTTTGTTGTTGTAACAGATTTGTGTATATCAGTCTCTGGGTCATTCCACAAATTGGGTGCCTTTTGAGTAGTATACATTGGTGAAAAAAAACAGAATTTCACCCTATTTTAACATTCTGTCATAAACAGCACATGTTCAACTTAATAAAAAACGTGTTTCCATCTCGAGGTTAAATAAAAAAAGAACTATAGTAAGTGTCTATAATGTGCCAAATAAAGTAAAATGGTTGACGATCTTAAATCAGCCATGAATCCCCTTGTGACAGGAGGAATGGAAGCTTGTTGTGTGCAACAGGGAGGGGCAATTGAATGCATGCTTTACAAAAAAATTGAAATTGTAAAGAATTGTCTAGCTTTTCTATCTATGGGTAACAGGGTTGATGTGTGGTGGGGTTGGAAAGTAATAAAGGGAAATATATTTTTTTAAAAGGATGATTTGCATTTTAATGAGGGAAATAAGTATTTGACCCCTCTGCAAAACATGACTTAGTACTTGGTGGCAAAACCCTTGTTGGCAATCACAGAGGTCAGACATTTCTTGTAGTTGGCCACCAGGTTTGCACACATCTCAGGAGGGATTTTGTCCCACTCCTCTTTGCAGATCTTCTCCAAGTCATTAAGGTTTCGAGGCTGACGTTTGGCAACTCTAACCTTCAGCTCCCTCCACAGATTTTCTATAGGATTAAGGTCTGGAGACTGGCTAGGCCACTCCAGGATCTTAATGTGCTTCTCTTGAGCCACTCCTTTGTTGCCTTGGCCGTGTGTTTTGGGTCATTGTCATGCTGGAATACCCATCTACGACCCATTTTCAATGCCCTGGCTGAGGGAAGGAGGTTCTCACCCAAGATTTGACGGTACATGGCCCCGTCCATCGTCCCTTTGATGCGGTGAAGTTGTCCTGTCCCCTTAGCAAAAAAACACCCCCAAAGCATAATGTTTCCACCTCCATGTTTGACGGTGGGGATGGTGTTCTTGGGGTCATAGGCAGCATTCCTCCTCCTCCAAACACGGCGAGTTGAGTTGATACCAAAGAGCTCAATTTTGGTCTCATCTGAACACCACACTTTCATCCAGTTCTCCTCTGAATCATTCAGATGTTCATTGGCAAACTTCAGACGGGCCTGTATATGTGCTTTCTTGAGCAGGGGGACCTTGCACTCCTTCAGAGCGTAGTATGTTACCAATTGTTTTCTTGGTGACTATGGTCCCAGCTGCCTTGAGATCATTGACAAGATCCTCCCGTGTAGTTCTGGGCTGATTCCTCACCATTCTCATGATCATTGCAACTCCACAAGGTGAGATCTTGCATGGAGCCCCAGGCCGAGGGCGATTGACAGTTCTTTTGTGTTTCTTCCATTTGCGAATAATCGCACCAACTGTTGTCACCTTCTCACCAAGCTGCTTGGCGATGGTCTTGTAGCCCATTCCAGCCTTGTGTAAGTCTACAATCTTGTCCCTGACATCCTTGGAGAGCTCTTTGGTCTTGGCCATGGTGGAGAGTTTGGAATCTGATTGATTGATTACTTTTGTGGACAGGTGTCTTTTATACAGGTAACAAGCTGAGATTAGGAGCACTCCCTTTAAGAGTGTGCTCCTAATCTCAGCTCGTTACCTGTATAAAAGACACCTGGGAGCCAGAAATCTTTCTGATTGAGAGGGGGTCAAATACATATTTCCCTCATTAAAATGCAAATCAATTTATAACATTTTTGACATGCGTTTTTCTGGATTTTTTTGTTTTTATTCTGTCTCTCACTGTTCAAATAAACCTACCATTAAAATTATAGACTGATATTTCTTTGTCAGTGGGCAAACGTACAAAATCAGCAGGGGATCAAATACTTTTTTCCCTTCACTGTACTGTATATGTATGTACAGTGGGGAGAACAAGTATTTGATACACTGCCATTTTGCAGGTTTTCCTACTTACAAAGCATGTAGAGGTCTGTAATTTTTATCATAGGTACACTTCAACTGTGAGAGACGGAATCTAAAACAAAAATCCAGAAAATCACATTGTATGATTTTTAAGTAATTAATTTGCATTTTATTGCATGACATAGGTATTTGATCACCTACCAACCAGTAAGAATTCCGGCTCTCACAGACCTGTTAGTTTTTCTTTAAGAAGCCCTCCTGTTCTCCACTCATTACCTGTATTAACTGCACCTGTTTGAACTCGTTACCTGTATAAAAGACACCTGTCCACACACTCAATCAAACAGACTCCAACCTCTCCACAATGGCCAAGACCAGAGAGCTGTGTAAGGACATCAGGGATAAAATTGTAGACCTGCACAAGGCTGGGATGGGCTACAGGACAATAGGCAAGCAGCTTGGTGAGAAGGCAACAACTGTTGGTGCAATTATTAGAAAATGGAAGAAGTTCAAGATGACGGTCAATCACCCTCGGTCTGGGGCTCCATGCAAGATCTCACCTCGTGGGGCATCAATGTCCATGAGGAAGGTGAGGGATCAGCCCAGAACTACATGGCAGGACCTGGTCAATGACCTGAAGAGAGCTGGGACCACAGTCTCAAAGAAAACCATTAGTAACACACTACGCCGTCATGGATTAAAATCCTGCAGCGCACGCAAGGTCCCCCTGCTCAAGCCAGCGCATGTCCAGGCCCGTATGAAGTTTGCCAATGACCATCTGGATGATCCAGAGGAGGAATGGGAGAAGGTCATGTGGTCTGATGAGACAAAAATATAGCTTTTTGGTCTAAACTCCACTGGCTGTGTTTGGAGGAAGAAGAAGGATGAGTACAACCCCAAGAACACCATCCCAACCGTGAAGCATGGAGGTGGAAACATCATTCTTTGGGGATGCTTTTCTGCAAAGGGGACAGGACGACTGCACCGTATTGAGGGGAGGATGGATGGGGCCATGTATCGTGAGATCTTGGCCAACAACCTCCTTCCCTCAGTAAGAGCATTGAAGATGGGTCGTGGCTGGGTCTTCCAGCATGACAACGACCCGAAACAACTAAGGAGTGGCTCCGTAAGAAGCATCTCAAGGTCCTGGAGTGGCCTAGCCAGTCTCCAGACCTGAATCCAATAGAAAATCTTTGGAGGGAGCTGAAAGTCCGTATTGCCCAGCGACAGCCCCGAAACCTGAAGGATCTGGAGAAGGTCTGTATGGAGGAGTGGGCCGAAATCCCTGCTGCAGTGTGTGCAAACCTGGTCAAGACCTACAGGAAACGTATGATCTCTGTAATTGTACCAAATATTAAGTTCTGCTTTTCTGATGTATCAAATACTTATGTCATGCAATAAAATGCAAATTAATTACTTAAAATTCATACAATGTGATTTTCTGGATTTTTGTTTTAGTTTCCGTCTCTCACAGTTGAAGTGTACCTATGATAAAGATTGCAGACCTCTACATGCTTTGTAAGTAGGAAAACCTGCAAAATCGGCAGTGTTTCAAATACTTGTTCTCCCCACTGTATATGTATTTATATATGTATGTGTATATGTATGTGTATATATATATATATGTATATATATATATATATATATATATATATATATATATATATATATATATATATATATATATATATATATACAGTGGGGAAAAAAAGTATTTAGTCAGCCACCAATTGTGCACGTTCTCCCACTTAAAAAGATGAGAGAGGCCTGTAATTTTCATCATAGGTACATGTCAACTATGACAGACAAAATGAGAAAAAAATATCCAGAAAATCACATTGTAGGATTTTTAATGAATTTATTTGCAAATTATGGTGGAAAATAAGTATTTGGTCAATAACAAAAGTTTCTCAATACTTTGTTATATACCCTTTGTTGGCAATGACACAGGTCAAACGTTTTCTGTAAGTCTTCACAAGGTTTTCACACACTGTTGCTGGTATTTTGGCCCATTCCTCCATGCAGATCTCCTCTAGAGCAGTGATGTTTTGGGGCTGTCGCTGGGCAACACAGACTTTCAACTCCCTCCAAAGATTTTCTATGGGGTTGAGATCTGGAGACTGGCTAGGCCACTCCAGGACCTTGAAATGATTCTTACGAAGCCACTCCTTCGTTGCCCGGGCGGTGTGTTTGGGATCATTGACATGCTGAAAGCACCAGCCACGTTTCATCTTCAATGCCCTTGCTGATGGAAGGAGGTTTTCACTCAAAATCTCACGATGCATGGCCCCATTCATTCTTTCCTTTACACGGATCAGTCGTCCTGGTCCCTTTGCAGAAAAACAGCCCCAAAGCATGATGTTTCCACCCCCATGCTTCACAGTAGGTATGGTGTTCTTTGGATGCAACTCAGCATTCTTTGTCCTCCAAACACGACGAGTTGAGTTTTTACCAAAAAGTTCTATTTTGGTTTCATCTGACCATATGACATTCTCCCAATCCTCTTCTGGATCATCCAAATGCACTCTAGCAAACTTCAGACGGGCCTGGACATGTACTGGCTTAAGCAGGGGGACACGTCTGCACTGCAGGATTTGAGTCCCTGGCGGCGTAGTGTGTTACTGATGGTAGGCTTTGTTACTTTGGTCCCAGCTCTCTGCAGGACATTCACTAGGTCCCCCCGTGTGGTTCTGGGATTTTTGCTCACCGTTCTTGTGATCATTTTGACCCCACGGGGTGAGATCTTGCGTGGAGCCCCAGATCGAGGGAGATTATCAGTGTTCTTGTATGTCTTCCATTTCCTAATAATTGCTCCCACAGTTGATTTCTTCAAACCAAGCTGCTTACCTATTGCAGATTCAGTCTTCTCAGCCTGGTGCAGGTCTACAATTTTGTTTCTGGTGTCCTTTGACAGCTCTTTGGTCTTGGCCATAGTGGGGTTTGGAGTGTGACTGTTTGAGGTTGTGGACAGGTGTCTTTTATACTGATAACAAGTTCAAACAGGTGCCATTAATACAGGTAACGAGTGGAGGACAGAGGAGCCTCTTAAAGAAGAAGTTACAGGTCTGTGAGAGCCAGAAATATTGCTTGTTTGTAGGTGACCAAATACTTATTTTCCACCATAATTTGCTAATAAATTCATAAAAAATCCTACAATGTGATTTTCAGGATTTTTTTTTAAATTACAGGCCTCTCTCATCTTTTTAAGTGGGAGAACTTGCACAATTGGTGGTTGACTAAATACTTTTTTCCCCCACTGTATATATATATATATATATATATATATATATATATATATATATATATGTATATATATATATATATATATATATTTGCGAGAGAAATAAAACATATGGGGGATTGGAAGTGATGCAGACAATTACATTGATGGAAGTTACAATCTATCTGCAATATTAAAGCTGATCTACCCCCCAAAAATAAAAATGACGTGTTATGCTCAACCCACTCAGTTTACCATCACAAAACACCAGAAAATGGCCCAAAATAGTAGAACCAGCTCACCTGCTTTTACACTATGATTGTTAAATGGTTTTTTTGGTTTTTTTCTAAGGAATAGTTTCACCATATTAAAATGAGAGTTCAGTTCATGTAACAGGGTTGACCTTAAAATGAGGGAGAGTTTTTGGTTTTACATAAAAATGTATCCCTAATCACATGAAATAAATAATAATCTTCAGAAATGACTGTCATGATGGTTAAAACTTGGAGAAATGTTGGGTTTAAGTTGGTTAAAATCTTCCTATAAGTCACAGAGGGTACACAGAGGGACATGTCAAAATGTTCAATATTATTTTCCAGTTGGTCTATATTAAAAAGGGCACTTCATTTAATATAACAGGCTTTTAAAATTAAATATTGGTGCACAATTTCTACTTAATATATCAAAGGGACGCAAAGGCACTCATTTCATGGAACGATCCTTCTGAGTTCTTTCTGAGCTCCACATAGCCTTCATAATGTGTCCTCTCTGCAGGACTTATGTGCTCCCATTGGAAACCAAGGAGTCACAGTGGATCATGTCACTGGTGATAAAGACACTAAGCTGAGAGTCACACACTTGTCTCATTCTTGAATGTCTTTGTGCAACTAGCATTTTGAAAGGACTTGACTAGATGTGTTGGGGAAGATTCAAATGTCAAGGCTTTCATTTATGTCCCAATGAATGAAAAACAAAGTACCAACCATTGTTACACAGTGTAGTATCCACCAATCCAGTTTCATATAAGAATAGCACATGCTATCTCTGCAGTTTCCCATTTTAAGCAACAAGCATTTGCAAGAAGTTAGAATGTACCAAAATAAACTGTCTCCATCTCTATCTCAACTGAAAGAACCATGTCAGTAAAAAAATATATCAGAATAATCAGCTACTAATCCAGCTACAAGCGCCTCTGCAAACATTAGAGACCTTAAAAAATGCTGCCCTTCATACCAAGGTAAGTCCTGCAATTATTACACTAATCCTATCTGTCTGCTCAAGTTTATTTCCAGATAAAGGAGCACGTATCTTATTTACTCTTATAACAGCTCTTAACCTTCCCCACAGAGACGTTCTCACATTGGGAAAAATGGGCCCTGTTCCAAGCAATCATCCCCTAACTCTATTACACTCTGCATAATAACCTACTGTACTACACTGGGAATTTTGAAGACCTGGCAACCGAAATAATCTGGCAACCCGGATGATTTTAACAGGTGTTGTTAATTAGGCCAAACGAGGCCATCCAGTAATGTCTCTCGGAGCCTAGACAGACAATACAGGCACAGACAGAGAAAAGGCTTACACATGTTCCCAGACTAACCTCCCAGGTCTAATGGAATGTTTGACTCAATGTCATCAATTAATTAAGACCGACCTTTTCGAGTGGAAGTGTGAGGACTCAGCAAACAGCTTCTATCTATTTAGTGTGCCTGTGCTGCACATGATCTGCAGGTGTCAGCTATTGTGTCACCCCAGCCAACACTGACCATGATACCCGTACAGACGGCACTGACGGATGGGCAACCATGGTGGAATAAGGGGAGACAGCAGGAGAGTGCTGGTGGTGGTGGAGTGGAGATATAACTGCATCTAAAACCATCTACTTGGCAAAGCAATGAAACACATGCACAGAGAGGGAGACACATTGAGTGTGGGTGGGGGATGGATGCCACTGGTCCCACATTTCAATCTCTCAATGTGAGAGTAGTGGAATGGGTGGATGGGTAGAAGTGCCTGGGACTCAGAGTTGCTGGCGTTGGGGACCTTACCTGTTCCTGGCAGGGGGCACTTGTCGCAGCGCGGGCCCCAGGCCTTGCCCACACTGCAGCAGCACAGCTGTTTGCTCAGCTGAGCAGACACTGGGTGCAAACACTGCTTCCCCGAACTGACCAATCGGAAACAAGCCCCTTTCTCCTCGTGGACGGCAGGGGTGTCGGCTGAAGAGGTGCGGAGGGAGAAGGGCGAGGGGTGGTGTGCCACAGTGGGAGGAGAAAGACATGGGGGAGAGAAAAGAGAGAAAGAGAAAATAAAGAAGTCCCCCTTCACCGGAATCCCCCCGCCCAACACAGAGTACTCACACATTTATAACAACGACATCAAAAATACCAAGAAAAATTTGAAACATCTCAGGGGTAGTTAGCTTTGTTGCCTGCTACCACTGAGAAATGTCATATCTTCATCACAGGATTTTTGAGCTATGAAGAAAGTGTCAACTAGACTAAACTAAAAGCTCAAATGCAAAACACCCACAAGCACAGCACATACAACATCAAAAGCTCTCTGGGTGTACAAACATTGAGCACTTCATGCCAATGCGTCATGCACTACTGAACAAAGTCAAATGCTGACCCAAATAAAAGCATGCAGTAGGGTTGGTTGAGTGTTTCTGAATGATGCACATCATGAGGGGTTTAGGCAGCTCAAATCCTGAAGTGTAGGAGTGGAAACTGTGGTATGGCAAGGCACCAACGGAACAAAGACTCTCTAAGGATTTGACTTCCAAGTAGAGCTAGATCCATATCATGTTCTTCCAGTATTTCTTCATTTTTCAATGGGTAAGCTATCCTATCAACATTAAATCAGTGCTTTTTTCCCCCGTCTCACAACAGTCTCCAAAACCCAAAATGTGACAATGCTGAACTGCTGAGGCCAAAAGGAGGGCTAAATGGTGTCATGACTATCCACGAGAATCCAAATAGGTCAGATCAGGATTGCAATGAATAACTTAAATCAGACCCCCTCTCACCCGTAGAGGGGGAAGGAAAGAACTAGTGGGTATTAACAACTTACGTCCTGTCGTAAATCAAGGGAGACGATCCAGGCTCTCCCTCTCAAGATTCACCAAAGGAATGTTCTTTGTCTCAACATACTTTTTTTCTGCTTAAACAAAAGCGAATACTGGAACAATATTTCTAACGTAGAATGTGGGGAATGGTCAGAGGCGATCTATAGGACACTAAGGTCATTTTGTTTGTTATTTTGTGATGGCATTAAAAATTGTATAAAGGAAACAGTGTAACTTGGAAAGTATACCCACTACATACACTACCAGTCAAAAGTTTGGACACACCTACACATTTATTTTTGTAGAATAATAGTGAAGACATCAAAACTATGAAATAACACATATGGAATCATGGAGTAAACAAAAAAGTGTAAAACAAATCAAAATATATTTGATATTTTCTTAAAAGTTAATTTGTGGAATTTCTTTCCTTCTTTATGCGTTTCAGCCAATCAGTTGTGTTGTGACAAGGTAGGGGGGGGGGGGGGGGGGGGGGGGGGGGTATACAGAAGACAGCCCTATTTGGTAAAAGACCAAGTCCATACTATGGCAAGAACAGCTCAAATAAGCAAAGAGAAATGACAGTCCATCATTACTTTAAGACATGAAGGTCAGTGAATACGGAACATTTCAAGAACTTTGAAAGTTTCTTCAAGTGCAGTCGCAAAAACCATCAAGCGCTATGATGAAACTGGCTCTCATGAGGACCGCCACAGGAATGGAATACCCAGATTTACCTCTGCTGCAGAGGATAAGTTCATTAGAGTTACCAGCCTCAGAAATTTCAGCCCAAATAAATGCTTCACAGAGTTCAAGTCACAGACACATCAACATCAACTGTTCAGAGGAGACTGCGTGAATCAGGCCTTCATGGTCTAATTGCTGCAAAGAAACCACTACTAAAGGACACCAATAAGAAGAAGAGACCTGCTTGGGCCAAGAAACACGAGCAATGGACATTAGACCGGTGGATATTTGTCCTCTGGTCTGGAGTCCGAATTTGAGATTTTTGGTTCCAAACGCCGTGGCCTTGTGAGACGCGGTGTGGGTGAACGGATGATCTCCGCATGTGTAGTTCCCACCGTAAAGCATGGAGGAGGAGGTGTTATGGTGTGGGGGTGCTTTGCTGGTGACACTGTCTGTGATTTATTTAGAATTTAAGGCACACTTAACTAGCATGGCTACCACAGCATTCTGCAGCGATACGCCATACCATCTGGTTTGGGTTTAGTTGGACTATCATTTGTTTTTCAACAGGACAATGACCCAACACACCTCCAGGCTGGGCAAAGGCTATTTTACCAAGAAGGAGAGTGATGGAGTGCTGCATCAGATGACCTGGCCTCCACAATCCCCCGACCTCAACCCAATTGAGATGGTTTGGGATGAGTCGGACGGCAGAGTGTGGAAAAGCAGCCAACAAGTGCTCCTTCAAGACTGTTGGAAAAACATTCCAGGTGAAGCTGGTTGAGAGAATGCCAAGAGTGTGCAAAGCTGTCATCAAGGCAAAGGGTGGCTATTTGAAGAATCTCAAATATAAAATACATTTTGATATGTTTTACACTTTTTTGGTTATTACATGATTCCAGATGTGCTATTTCATAGTTTTTATGTCTTCACTATTATTCTACAATGTAGAAAATAGTACAAAATAAATAAAAACCCTTGAATGAGTAGGTGTGTCCAAACCTTTGACTGGTACTGTATATGACGTTGCCATACTATACGTTGTGCATGTAATATGAAAAATGATGAAAGTGTTTTTGTTAAGAGAGGGATGTGATTTGAGAAGTTATAAGAGATAATTGTTTTACATAACTTGCACAGTGAATAGTCACCGCCCCGAAGTGAGGTCAGAAAGCGTGCCAGCCTGCTGGAACCGCCCCTTTCGACCAAAGTGTATAAATTATGAGTTCAGAAAAAACACATTAGACCAGAAAAGCGTGAAGCGGTAGCTACACGTTTAAAATGGTTGGAACTTTGAATCTCAACACGAGGTGAAGAAAATAAACTAATCTCCCGGACAATCACTGGTACGGCTGATTTGCTGTCCTAAGTAAGGTATCTTCGAAAGGGAATTTAAGTAGGGCCATCTGCTACTATGCTCAAACCATCGTATTACGCTACTCTCATCACCCCACTTGGGAACCATCGATACGGCTGGCTATCCTATCTTCAAAGAAGCAACTTCAAGACCAAATGGAAGGAAAATCAATTCTGTGGTTCAATTCCCTCTCTCTGTGGTCAATTCCCTCTCTCTCGCCATCTCTTCTTTTTAACAAGCAGCCATGTTGTTGTCATTCCGCTAGGGACCTGTTTTCTCCAGTCAATAACCGGTGCAGAGTGTGTATGTTTATCCTGTGTTCCCATTTAATTAGCTAGTAAATAAATAATTAAACCAATTTGTGTAGTACTGAATCATACGTAATGCTGGGTTTTTTGCAGATGCAAGGAGGTTACGACTGTTCAGAATGATGATATGATACGAGGTTATGATTAATAAGTTGACTGTTTATAGATGCGATAGATAAAGACCTTTTAGAGTTTAATCCGCTCTAGTGGTGCCCCAGATCCTAATGAGTTAATTGTTACATGATTAATTTAATCGGGTAACAATTAAACATAGTGAGTTAATTAGAGAAATAACAGTCTTCAGATGAATTTTAAAGTCACGTCACGACAATGGGTTAATGCACATGAACTTCAAATTAGAAGTACTGGAATTTACAAGACATAATTCAAAGAACAGTGAAAGGTAATATCTTTTTCTTTACCAATCCTGTACAAAAGGTCACAAAGAGTTTTTATTCTTCGAACATTTTCCCCTTTAGGCAGTTTGTGTGGTGCATTGATATTCGTCAACACAGACTGAAAAAGTTCTCAGGTTTCCAGTCATTATTGACAGAGAGGGTATGTGGGCGAGTGTGTGTTTATGTGTGTGTGTAACTGTTGGAAAGAGGGGCTCAAACGGCTGAACCGCTGTCCCTCCAAACCCTCTACAAAAATTGTGAATCCGCCTCAGAGTCTCACACTTCACAGCTCGGACACATGGGGGAAATCGTGTATGGGGGAAATCGTGGCCAAATTCCATCCACCCCCCTCCTCCCTACCACCCACATTCAAGTTGCTCTAAGGCCAAAGCCACCAATTAATACCAGTGACCAGGGGTGCAACTTTCACTGGGGACATGTGAAATTGCATTTTTGTTCCCCCCAGTTTTATCATTGGAATGTGATACAAAACGAGGCAACGGTGTGCTTTAGAACCATGCGGACGCCTCTGAGCGGTCGGGTAGGCTGTTTGGAGTGTTTATCCGACTAAAAAATATATATATATATTTTATTATATGTCCCCCCCACTTCTAAAACCAAAGTTGCGCCCCTGCCAGTGACACCTACTCACTGACGTGGCAGCACCACTGTGTTAAACACGCTTGAGTCTTTTCTTGAGTCTCAGAAACTGTCTAGCTAATAGGGCTATGGGGTGACTGTGGGGTTCTGTTGCTAAACACGTCTCAAAGTACACTAGAGCAGCATGACCCATGAATAGGTCAGTGAATGCCCCAATGATGGGATCTCTCCCTTTGTCGGACGTTGAGAGGCAGCACATTAGAGGGGAGTGGGGGAGGGAAGGGGAGATGGAGGGATAGAGAGAGATGAGGGTGCTGGGGTTCTGTTAGATTGCCCTTGGTGGCCCTCCCTTAATTTCTAGACATTACATTTTTTTACATTTACGTCATTTAGCAGATGCTCTTATCCAGAGCGACTTACAAATTGGTGCATTCACCCTATAGCCAGTGGGATAACCACTTGACACATTTTTTTATTTATTTTGTTATTTTTGGGGGGGGGGGGGGGGGGGGGGGGGGGGTGGTAGAAGGATTACTTTATCCTATCCCAGGTATTCCTTAAAGAGGTGGGGTTTCAAATGTCTCCGGAAGGTGGTGAGTGACTCCGCTGTCCTGGCGTCGTGAGGGAGCTTGTTCCACCATTGGGGTGCCAGAGCAGCGAACAGTTTTGACTGGGCTGAGCGGGAACTATGCTTCCGCAGAGGAAGGGGAGCCAGCAGGCCAGAGGTGGATGAACGCAGTGCCCTCGTTTGGGTGTAGGGACTGATCAGAGCCTGAAGGTACGGAGGTGCCGTTCCCCTCACAGCTCCATAGGCAAGCACCATGGTCTTGTAACAGATGCGAGCTTCAGCTGGAAGCCAGTGGAGTGTGCGGAGGAGCGGGGTGACGTGAGAGAACTTGGGAAGGTTGAACACCAGACGGGCTGCGGCATTCTGGATGAGTTGTAGG